CTTAGTATATTCTACTAAGTAAGATATAGTATATTATTCTTATTAATAATATAATAATAGTACTTATTTACAAAGTATATAGTAGAGAGAGAGTTATAGAATATTTATTTATTTTATTTATACTATACATTTTTTTATACTAAATTAATTCTAAACTATTCTAGAAATAATTTACTTAGAAATAGTACCTAACTACCTACTAGAACTACTACTCTTAGAGAGAGTAGGTAAACGCTTAAAAGAAAAGTATAAGAAGAACTAGTAAGATTTGCACTTATTCTCTTTATTCTAGAAGAAGGTATAATCTAAATTTATTAGAAATAATTCTAAATTATTCTAAAAATAATCTAAATAAAACTTACCTTAAATATAGTCTATGTCTAGGCTATTAATATTATACGCTTAGTAGAAAAGCTTATCTTTAGGCTAATTATTATAGTAGTCTCTAACTATATTAGTTATAGTAGTAAAGTTAAGCTATAAAAGTTAGAAATAATTTAGAAACGTTTAAGAAATAATTTACCTATTCTCTCTTTAAATTATTAATCTAGATAATATTCTAAAGAGAGTGTTTCTAGTTTTTCTACTTTTTCTTTTCTTCTTTATTATCTAGTACAGTAGCAAAGTTCTTAAAATTATTATAGTCTAAATTATTTACTAATTAATCTAACTTATAGTCTAAATTATTTAATAAATAATCTAACTTAGACTTATTATTAGATTCTAGCTAGGTAAGAGCCTGTATAGGCGTAGAGTTAGTAGAAGAAGTAAAAGAGTTAGTAGAGAGGTTAGTAATAGCGTTGTAAGTAGCTATAATCTAAATATAGAAACCTAGGTAGAATTAATTAAGAATTAATTAAAAAATAATTTAAATAAACTTACGTATCTTAGCTTAGATCTAGGCGTTAGTAGAATTTTTAACTTACCTAGTAAACGCTATTCTTAGCTAGTAAGCTTAGTGTAAATAGTTTCTAAGCGCAACGCAACTTGTATACTTCTACTAGAAAAAATATTAAAAATAATTAAGAAATAATCTAGAAATAATTTATACTCTATAAAGAATTCTACTTTAAATTCTAATATAGTAGTATAGCTAATCTATATAAATAATAAGTTTACTCTACGTATTAGTAAAAAAAGATAAGCACCTAAATAAGTATTAGTTAAGCTAGAGAAATTACTTATAAGTAGGCTAAATTTATTAGAATTATTTATAGATTAATCTAAAAATAGTTTATACATTTTCTTAGAGTATACTTTAGATTTAGTAGGCTATTATAGGTAGCGTAGTTTAGTAGAGAGGTTTAGTAGAGTTATATTATTATTATTTAGGTAGAATTATTTCTAAAATAATCTATAATTAATTTGCTAAGGCGCTACTTTAGCGTGCGCATTAACTGCGCATAGATGCCTTAGTATGCTATGTCTTAGCGCGCCCTTAGTTAGATGGCCTGCGTTCTGCTGCGGTATGCGCGACACAGGGAACTATCACTCCTATTCGCCAACTTCCTACCTGGAGAACGGGAGAAGCTGTAGAGCTGTTCATGCATACCGGGGTAACCTTCGGTGAGCGACTCTCTGGCTGTGGCCCATTTTACCCGCGTTTTTAACCGCGTTTGCTTAGACTTGGCCTTGGGCGTAAGCAGTGACCCTCTTCATGAAGGCAGACTGCCGCGTACACCCAGTGCTAGGTGAGCGGTCGTTGGGTATCTCTCATAAGACAAGATGCAATCGCGGAGAATGTTCAGTCGGGAAACAACCCATGTCAACCGCCTGATCTCACGACAATCCATAACGCTTGTCTAGATGAAAGCCTCACCTCAGGTCCCCCTGCTCTTCAGCTGACGAGCACACGGCCGCAAGGTAGCAACCAAAGCGCGTTCCTTCCAGCATGTACAGGCTAAGATTTCGTCATCATTAAAGCCGGCATAGGCTTTCCAATCTTTGCTCCCATGAAACGACCAAAATCGCAAGTGTGATCTTTTCTCCAATACACTCGTCGTACCATCACGAGTCCTGGTCACCCTCCTGAGTTCCCATGATAATGAGAAGGTTTGCTACAATGAGATGCGTAATACAAAGCTTCAGCTTACAAGCTAGCCCAACTCGTTCGTTCCAGCAACAGAGCTACACTAAAAATGTCTTCTAATGACCAAGGGGGCGCCAACCGTGGCCCCTCTCCTGTACCTTCCAAAGACAAAGTCCCCGAACTTGTTCGCCCTAAATCTGATAACTCTGACCATACTGATCACCCTAGCGAGGAAGGTGACTCAATGTCGACTATCGAAACCACGAGCACTGAGAGTGTCGAATTTGACGATGAAGACCAACCCAGCAATGAAGAAAGAAGGGTACCAATTGCAGGACCACATGATTCGCCTAGACACGTCGTGCGCGAGGGTGATGAAGGAAATGAGGGAGAAATTCGGGAAGCGAATCAGGAAGCAAATCCAGGAGGAAATCCATAAGGAAATTAAGGACACAATTAGGGATTCCCTTGCTATGAATTAGTCTGGTAATGAAGCCGACCCGGAGTTGCAGGAGGAATCAGACCTTAATGATCACGTACATGTAGAAGAAGAATGGTTTAACTGATAGGTACAAGAGCTTGGTCATCATCAAAGTGTATTCTAGTATCGCAGTCTCGAAGACATTGCTTAGACATATTTGCCTGTTGACTACACCGGTCATACACACGTCTGACTGTGATCTAGCCTTATATACTAATCCCCGTCGGCTATCATACCACTCATCTCAGCGGTCGCGACGCGGGGTCCTTGGACCAGAACGATCCACACCATCTGGTCTAGACCAATCATCTTCTGAATCATACGGAGCGTCCTCATATGGAAGACCGTCACCCCTCCCATACGAACGATCGTGGTACTCATCCATAGCGCCACTGTCACTATGTGGGGCGACGCGGCGACGAGGTGAACGAGATCGACGGCGAGGCGAATTTGAACTATACTGAGGTGAAGTTGGTCGATACTCAGGCGATCCATACTGAGGCGAGGTTGGTCGATAGTGAGACGAAGCTGGCTGATAGAATGGACTATGAGGTGCTTCATTGCCGCGTCGCTGTGGTAGTGGAATTGCGTTCTGCCCGGTCGCAACTGCAAGGCCTTGAGGCGAAGTTGGCCGGTAAGATGGACTGTGACCGTAGTGTGGATTACCTGGTCCCTGATCGTCGCGCCACTGTGGTTGTGGGTTTGCAGGTTGCCCAACTGCAACTACATGATCTTGACGCGATCTGTCTTTCAGCTCCTTTTTCTCAAAGTCCATCTTTCCGATGACGTCGATGTTCTGTTGTCCGCTTCCAGTATTCACGTTTTGGTTGTAGACTGGCGCTGTCATGCGCATGTGCGTATTGCCATGTGGGCCCTTCAACGTCTGATTGTGACCCCCAGGCTTACCATCGCCGGCCGTCTTGTTGGTAACAGTATCATTGACCGAGAACTTTTGCTGTCCGGCACCTCGGTTTAGGCGATGCTCTGGCTCGGTAGGGATCTCATACTCGGTTGACGCGGCGCCGGTAGCTGAGGGTGGCGGAGGTTCGAATACGCCATACACGTTGATGTTCTGCTGTCCAGACCCGCTGTTGATGTTTTGGTTGTAGATTGGCGCGCTGTTGGTGAGGAAGCTAGTGGCGAATGGGGCCTCGATCGACTGAGAATGGCCATGGCCGTTTGGACCATTCTGGGAGTTAGTGACGGTATTTTCCTCTTTAATGTGACGGACATGACCGGATTGATCTAGAGCCTCAGATTTCTGATCTATCTTCCCAGAAGGTGGTGGAGGCGGTGGTCGAATAGGCTCGCGCTGTTGCCGTTTTGATGCATTAGGTGCTGGTGCCGTGGAAGCTGATCGCTTCCCGCCGTTTCGCAGAACCATTTCTTTGCCATCGGCTTCGTTCTCCACGTTTAATGACATGTCGAACGGTCGAAGGCCAAACATCCTCCGAGCTTCTTGAGCGAGGCCCAAAATGCTGTCGCAAACTTCCCGAGACTCTTTCCAAGCTTCCTTCTCGACTGCCTGGGTAAGATTGTTTGCATATGAGGTTTCTATCTGTGTCGGTTGTCGAAGTTCTTTACGGACCTTGGCCATCAAAGACTGTAGATGACCTTGATTAGAGGTGGGCTGCTTGGTCGTTGTACCCATTGGAGCCGCCATATTTGGTGTACTTGTGATCTAAAGCTAGGCTGTGTATCGAGTTGGAAGCCGGCTGATTAAATGCGGGTGCAAAACTGGAGGAAGGCACCAGAAGAACTTTCTCCTCCGTAGGCAGAAGCGTAAAATGCGGAAGAGGTGGTTTCACTTATGAAGTTCCCCCATTGTTTGTTCATTGGGCAATTTCCTTGTATCGATAGAACATTACATGCGCTTGTTGAGGTTGTTTGACCAGGTAGCATAGAATGGTAAAGACCGAGTTGGTGAACATCATGTTTGGCCTATGTCTAACGACATATCTCAACAGCGTTCGCCACACAGGTGTACCCATTGTTACGATACGCAGTCTAAGTTGGTGTTAACCCTGTAGGAGTGCCGCTCGTGTGCTCCAGTCGTATTAGTAAATATCAATGGACATCTCGTCGTTCTCGCAGGAAACATTGCAATCGGCGATAGTACATTGATGAATGAGATGGAAGAGAAGATGGAGTGACAGTTGAGACCTGGCAGGATCGCTCCGGAGATGGTGCAGAGATAAGCACACCAGCCACCTGGACTTCGCAGTACTTCAGCATTCATAACTATAGGCTCTACAGTATTGATCGCGACAAATGTATGGGAATCTCGAGCTTCGATCAAAAAAGCTCTTGTTGCACCCCAATTCGCATGCTCATACCAGCCGCCCCTGCTGCATCATCACCGACTTCCCCAAACCGTGCCTTCCTCGCGACGTCATCCCCCCTTGTCCACCTCCGCACCTGCAGATTACCCCATCCTACCCCAGACACGCATTTCTACGCGACCAAGCGACGCCACCAATAGCTCGGCAAGGCTTCCAACGGCGTTTTACGTCTTAATCATTCGCCAGAGCCTCTTGAATAACCCTTGCCCCGCAATTACTCCGTCGGTTATGCGCGCAGGCAGCTTGTGATAACGGCGATTCTGCCGACTGACCATCTTTTGTGACGTCGGGGTAAGATCTAGCATGCTGCGAGTGTTCGGGTGATATGATCCGGGTAGCGAGCGGTGAGGTATGAAGATGGTGGTATAGAAACATGGGGTACACCCACATGGTGTTCTGATCGCACTTCGCATATCTCATCGCCTTGATCGTGCGTCGCCTAGAATTGCTTCCGGCAGAGCAACGAGAAGTCTTCGCCAACTATGTTCCACGCACCACACTTCAACTGGCAAGTCAAGCCTCTACACGCTACACAAACCAACGTGACAAGCACTAACATCCTACACCGATATCCAGGTACGGCCGCGGCTTCAAACTCCGCGCCGCCATAACGATCGCCTGCCAGCTCGCCTTCGTCCTCTTCGGCTACGACCAAGGTGTTTTCAGCGGCATCGTTGGCAACGAAGACTTCCTAAACACTTTTGACCACCCCTCGCCCGGCCTTGAAGGCATCATCGTGTCGATATACAATCTTGGTTGCTTCACAGGATGTATTCTCAGCTTTATGTTCTGCGAGAAGACGGGTAGGAGGCTGGCTATGTGGATTGCTATGGTTTGGATCATTGTAAGTGAGAGGATGGTGGCGGGTATTGTGTCTGGGCTGTGGCTGATGATTGGTGATAGGTCGGTGGCGCGCTTCAAGCGAGTGCGTACTCGGTGCCGCATATGATGGTCGCAAGATTCCTGACAGGAATTGGTACGGGGATCGAGACATCGACTGTGCCGATGTACCAATCTGAGCTCTGCGAGGCGAACAAGCGCGGTCGCCTCGTTGCGTCAGAACCGCTCTTCGTCGGCGTAGGAATCGAACTAGCGTACTGGTTCGACTACGGGATGTCTTTTACGGAAGGATCGATCGCGTGGCGTTTGCCCATTGCATGCCAGGTCATCTTCGCGATTATCGTCATCGTACTTGTTTTTGGTCTTCCCGAATCACCCCGGTACCTGTATGCGCATGGCCGACATGAAGAGGCGCTTCAGATTCTTTGCGACGTATACGACGGTACGCCTGACGACCCAAAGATTGAGAAAGAGAACAGAGAAGTGCTCGAAGCTTTGCAGGTCGAAAGAGAGCATGGAGAGTACAAGTGGTCGCAACTTCTTAAGAAAGATCGTGTGCAGACTGGACGTCGTGTATTACTCGCCTACGGAGCGCAGTTCATGAACCAGATGGGCGGTATCAATTTGGTTGTTTACTACTGTTGGATGAAACCAGAAGCTTCTAGTTGGAGGGTAGGTTTGTGTTATGGCAAACACAAACACTACTTCTTAGGTACATAAGGGGGGTAGGGCTTCACCCTACTCCATCATCTCATTCTACATCAATTCATTGAGTTCAACAACTACATCACATCCGTTCTAGAAGACAACGTCGGCCTGGACAGAAACCTCGCCCTCCTCATGGGAGGCGTCATCAACCTAATGTTCCCGATCGGCTCCCTCTTCCCAACCTTCACACTGGACCGCACCGGCCGGCGGAAACCCATGATGTGGGGCTCTCTCGGGCTCGGCTTATCCATGATGATGATAGCCATCCTCTTGAGCTTCCGGTCAGAGGGAGGCGACGTGTCGCAAGCCACTGCGTCCGCCAGTGTCGCTTTCTTTTTCACTGTAAGCAGAAATGCGTCGCATTAGGAATGAGAAGCTAACAAGTTTTAGTACATGCTGGCGTTCGGTATGACAATGAACTGCATTCCTTGGGTCTATGTTCCCGAGATCCTACCGCTACATGTACGAGCGAAAGGTACAGCTGTCGGGATCTCAGCGAACTGGATTTGGAACTTCTTCGTCGTCATGGTTACGCCTACGCTTCTCGATAGCTTGGCGTGGAAGGGCTACCTTATCTTCATGGCGCTGAACTTTGCGTTCATACCGCTAATCGTATGTATTCGAAACGATACCGCAACCTCTATTCGCTAACGTGTTGTGTAGTATTTCTGCTATCCTGAAACTGCCAATCTTACGCTGGAAGAGATCGACTGGCTATTTTACGAAGGCGATGTCGTGAAGCGAAGCCGACGTATTGCGAAGGAAGGATGGGAACAAGCGGTTGGCACCGATCCTGCGACTATGGTGGAGACGGGTAGTGTGTCCAGCGGTAATAAGGCCGGACACACGACGGAGAAGGCAGAACACAAGGTGCACTAGTCCTCATTGGCATTCCAACTGGGACGATGTGACTGCGCTCCTACACCATCGAGTACTTGGTATCAGTCATCATACTCACCTTTGATCAATGCGATGGATTGATGTCTATATCAAGCATCCGCATGCATTGCGGTCAAGAGACAAAAGACAAGCGAATGAGAAAGTGAACGTAGAACCAAGGAAAGGTGATATAGTCTATATGATGTGCGAACCTACATATCGTACAAGGTGGTGATGTATACTACAATGACTTCTCGGCAACCTTGGCGGCCTCGAGTCGTGACCTCATATGAGGAGCAGTGTGGGATCCCGCGCTCTGCGGCTTCATGATCTGGCGAAGGATAGCGCGACGTGGCATGGTAATTCTGCTGCAGAGAACGACCGCTCCAGTCAACAAAGCAAGAGCTCCAGCTTGATGTGCGGAAGCCAACCACGTAGGGACCATGTAGATCAGCGTGCTGATGCCGAGGGTGACCTGGAGAGTGACGAGATGGACCATGCCTTGGACGCCCTTGTGGGCATCCTTGGTAAGCTTAGTCCGCACACCCTTGCCGAAGCGAGTGTATGCGAAGAGACTCATGATGGCAGTGAAGGTAGTTGTTGCGAGCATGCGGTGGTCAAGCTGAACGAGAGACGGGTTCTCGAGCATGTTGCGCCACCATAGGTCTGATTGGTCTGGGACGTGGCTGTAGAAGGGGTCGAACAGTTCTTTCCTGGGTGGAGTGAGACCCATACCCATCCACGGGAACTCGTTATAGATGAGACCGGCATCGAGACCAGCGACAAGGGCACCTGACATGGCAGTAGTGAAGACGAGAAGAGTAAGACCGAAGACAGAGCGTCTGAAGATGCGGAGTGCAGGGTGCTGCAGAGTCTTGATGGTCTCTGCCGCCTTGACTGGGTCGGCCAGCATGCGGTTCTCTTTGAGAATAGAGAGACCAGTGTATACCATTGAGCAGTAGACGGTGAATGCAGCGCCCAGATGGGCAGTCAGGCGGTACTGGCTAACACGGGGGTGGCTACCAGGTTCAAAGAGGTCGTCCTTGAGCCCACTCTTGACCATCCACCAGCCGATCACACCCTGGAAGCCGACCATGCCACAGATGCCGACGAGCTTCCAGGCCATTGAGGGTGCTACCCTGCGACGTGCGATGAAGTAAGCGGTTGGTACGAGCATCGTGATGCCAATGACGCGACCCCAGAGACGATGAGCCCATTCCATAAAGTAGATCTGCTTGAAGTCGGCCATGTCCATACTGGAGTTGAGCTGGGCAAACTCAGGTGATGCCTTGTATTTGGTGAACTCGCTGTCCCATTCGGCCTGGCTCATGGGCCAGAGGGAGCCGGTGACAGGGCGCCATTCGGTGATGCTCAGCCTGTTCAACTTAGCAGGTGCGGTGGAGGAGGTGACGTCGGTGCCTACCCAGACTCTGTGAGACGAGTCAGACCACCAAACACGACTATGCCGAAAACGCTCGCAGCACTGCCCAGCAACCAGTATGCGACGCTCTTGGAGGTTGTCTTGGGGAAGCTGCTCGACTGGCTCTCAGTCTTGGTCGCAGCTTCCGCGAGTATCGCCCTTCCCGCATTCGGTCCCTCGATGGTCGCGGTACTGCGGAGAGGCTGGGTGGATTTCCACCTCACCGATTGCAGGACGGAGGGTCGGGATGAAGATCGTGAAGCGGAGACGGCGGCTCGAATCGGCGAATTGAGGCATGGCCTGCATACGAAGAGGCGTCGTGAGAGGCGTGGAGCAGCAGTCCGCAGCTGCGGAAATGCCTGGAATATTGAAGCCATTACAGCGACATCTGGGGAGGAAAGAGGATGTTTCACGGGCAGCAAGTGGTTAGGTCATGGACTTTGACTCTTCGGTGGTTCGACGGCGCGGCGGCGCGCCAAGAACGAACCCTGCATATCCACGCCCGTTGACAGGCGGAAGCGACGACCCACTCCGCAGGTTCGCAACTGCATCACCGGACCCCTCCTAGTGAAGATCGCCATTTGGCGTCTGCCGTGCTGGCAGCGTGATGCGCCCAGCCTCCACCGTATTTTGCGACCGCTATCTTCCCTTCTCCTATATGACTTTCACTGTCTCTCCATTGCGTACGTGACCATCCCGTGTTATTAGACCCGGCGTGCACTGCGTTACCCCACCCGCCCGGTCGCATACCCAGCCGTCGTCGACCACCACGCCCCATGTACTTCCAAAGCAGCTTATAGCATAGCATGGATCCCGCCCATCAACCACCCACAGGTCACGGGAGCAACAACCTCGATCATGAGAACGAGCCGCAGATTGGTGGGTTAGAGCGCAACGAAACATGGCCGTTGGGCGAGGGAGAGCGTACAGAGGGCGGCGCAGGCTCGAGTAGTACCCCATACGTCAGCCTCTTCTCGCCCAATGTACCCGCCATACCACCATCTGCGCCGTCCGACGTCACCGACAGTCCCAGGGCACACGTGAGCCACTCGAGGTCTCTCAGCTACTCGCGCTCGATGCCGTCACTGGCCAACTACTCCAGCATGACATCGCGTGCCTCTAGAGCTCACGGTCAAGAGGAACGACCGCCCATAGTTCAGCTGCAAACCCGGATAGACCAAGCCCAGAAGAGCGCCGATGACCCAAACACCCCGCTGGAAGAACAAGGCAAAAGGCGCACGACGTTGGACCTGATGCGTACAGAGCACTCTGTTCGCACCGACATTAGTAGGTTGTTTAGCGAGAGCGCAGCCATGCCTGGAACTAGGGCACCTTCCTACAACAACGCGACGGGACCATTGTATTTGCGAGGTGAGTATCACTACGAGGTTCTCGTGTGTACAGGCTAACATTGTCAGTTTCAGGCGAAGCCATACCTCTTCCTGATCACCTTTACACCCGCGGGCTGCTTGAAGGCCGACACTCGGACATTACCATCATCGCCTTTGGCCAGCGATATCCTCTGCATCGCCTCATCCTCGACCGCGCACCCTTCTTCACGACCGCCCTATCTGAGCCATGGCTTGAAAGCCGGTCCAAGGAAGTCAAACTACACCCTGAAGAGATCGATTCCAGCATCACGCAGGCATCGTTCGAGCTGGCTATACGTAAACTCTATGGTGTCGATATCTCGAAAGAATTGGACGCTGAAGCCATTGGTCTCTTCGCGACTGGCTGTTGGCTAGAGATGCAGGACCTCATCGACTCTGCGATCGAATCCATACTGCGGCAGATGGCACCGGAGACGCTTGCCTACCTCATCCGCTTAGTCACCTCCAACTACTATGGTCGATCTGGAGACCGCATACTTGAGTCGGCCAAGGCGATGCTAAGCAGGAACGGCTGGGAAATGCCTCTCAAATACTGGGACGATATGCCCGGCGACATAGTCCGTGAGCTCGTAGGGTCTGACGGGTTCTTCGTGGATAGCGAGTGGGACCGCTGGGTACTTTCCAAGCGTCTTCTCGACCGCCGGCTACGTCAAGCAGCCATCGAGGCTGGCCTTATCCAGCGAGGACAGAGACCCATCCCACAAGCACCCAACTCCCTTCGTCTCATGGCAGTTCGCTTCGATGGTGTTTATCGACAAAACGCCCTGACGACGGCGCATTCCTCATCCGACGCGCAGGCTGACTGGCTTGCTCTCTACACGCTGCCCGATATTGAGCGCATACTCGTGTTGCTAGACGAAGGCATCCACTATATTCACATGGAATACGAGCAGCTTGAGTTTATCCGGAACGCTCGCGACGTATTTGGCCTACCAGTGATGCCCGAAAGGGTCATCTCCAATGCGCTCTGGCAGCAACTGGCTCTTCGCCAGAGGGTGCTCAACACCGATGAGTCTGCTCAGGAGCTGGGTCTATGTCAATCAACCCCAGACCCCGAAGAAGCGAATGTGGCGACGAAGACTGGAAGCGAGCTCACTAACAAAGGAAAGCAAAAAGAGTTGGCAGATCCTATCGACGAAGGCGACATCGAGTCGGATAGTTGGGACGGCAATGGCAAGCCACGGAAGTTTTGGATCCCAAGCTCGGACTGCAACATTGTCTTGGGAAACGGTGCAGATCCTGTTGTCACGACATCCAACTCTTTCCAGCGCCATGCTTCACGTCTTTCAGCCACAATACAGCCAGAGGATGCGCAATGGGCCACCGACTTTGCATCTACTCCGTCGACGTTGACGAACCCAAATACTCGCATGGACTTTGCACAACGCCCAATCTCTGCTGGTGGCGGCAACGCTGGTCAGCCAAAACCAATCGCTTACACCGAATTTCCTCCATTCCGCTTCTCGGCTGAGTTTCCTAATCCACGATTCCTCAAAGAGAAGAAGCGCGTCTATTCGAGGACGGTATCCTACGCAGGCTCTCTGTGGAACATCTACATTCAGAAAGTTCGCTCTGCCAAGAATATCCAGTTGGGTGTATATCTCCACCGTGCCAAGGAGCGGGAGGTAGATGAGGCTGGACATGTCAGTGGTCTCAGCCAACAGAACAACGGCTCGGTTGATGAGCGTATCGGCCAGCTAGAGCGCGAGATGCTCATGCGTAGTGACCGACGTGATCGGCGGCGCAGCACCCGAGTTCCGTTCATGGATCCTGCTGCTGAAGAGGATACCTCTGGCAGTGGTGGAGATCCCGACCCTGCTCTCGGCTCTCTGGGACTGCGCAACCCACTCTTCTCTAGCGGCAGTCTTGGTCGCCATCGTAGTCGTCTACCCACTCGCGGTATCCCACAATGGGGCTTCCAGAATCTGGCCTCTTCACCACCCCAAGACGGCGATACCATAGACTCTCCCTCCTTCGCTAACGCTCCCTACTCGCCATCCGAACACGACTCAGACCCATCCGATGACGACGACGAGTCAGACGCCGCCGCCTACATCAACCCCTCTCTCGCCTCTAGAGTTCAGCGCAAAACGCGAGCCGTCATGCCTGCACTTCCTCCCTATGTCGACGGCCGGCCCACAATCAAAACCTACTTTAAGATCTACAGCCCCTCCAAGGGTGGAAGGATGCTCAGCATCTATGAAAGCGCGCCTGACCGCTTCAATTTCAGTCAGAGCTGGGGATGGAAGAGCAGCACTTTGATGCTGGACGAAATCACGATCAATAACGGCGGAGATGATACCCTGGCTGGTGCCAACCCAGCTGCAAGCAAGAAGACGGATGGCAAATTGAGATTCATGGTTGTTATCGGCAATTTGTGAATGGCGTATATGGGTGAAATGGTACCTATGGGATGGACTGGGATGGGTGCTGGGTTTTGGGGCTATGCATCAGCGATGGGTGTTTTGGTACAGGCAATAAGGACAAGGCGTCTCGGGTTTATGGTGGGAGATGGTTTAGATACCGATTTCTACCTATGCACATTTATAGTTTCCGCATCAACTCGCGCACAAGACTGGGGTGGTGGCCCATGTAATGGCATGCGCTAGCGGCGGACCTAGGCTCAGAAGGATCGCGGCTGTGACGCGTGGACGCGACTGCTCGGTTTGTCGAGACTACGTACCATCACGTCAGACACGACACATCTGCCGGTACTCCTCTCCGCAAATCCCGATCCATCTACTGAAAAAGCAGATCTCGCGATCGTACCCAGTACTTTCGATTTTCCAGCGCTGGCATACACACGGCGCGTGCGGCATGCACTGGGTAGACACTTACTGCGAACAATCACAGCAGTCCGGGCTAATTCCTCACGAAATTCAGGCCTTGAGAGGTCAATTGAGCCATATTTCATTGATTGCAGCTTGTGCAATAGAGCTATCTGTCATCATGTACATAATACAGCCAATTCAGCTGTTGTGCAGAAGTAGCAAGCCTTTTTGCTGGTTTCCCCCCCACCAACTTCCATCTTTATCCCCACTCAAGCTTACAACACAGAAGGCTGTCTTCCGCTGAAAATCCGAGTACCCGGCAAATGAACACGAAAGATAAACTCCAACGCGTCGTCAATGCGAGCCAGAGTTTCCTGCACACGATCATTGAACTCAGGAGACCTGTTGACATCCCATCGCTCCTCCTCCAAACCCGCACCTAGATTGTGCAGACAGACTGGTCCCAAGTTCTGAAGCTGCTTGCGAGGGATCGGGTGTACGGCGTGCACGACTCGCTCGGTGATCTCGCTCTTCTCGGGGAACTGGGCCTTTGCGCGAGGATCGACTATGATGCATGTCTTAGTGTAGAAGGGAGACTCGACGACGAGATCACGGGTGATATATCCGCTCCACAAAGTGACGACTTCTTCGAAGTCTTGGGGGACAAATTTCCGCAGTTGCATGGGGCGAGTGGGCGCGATCATGCCAGGCGCGGTGCCCGAAGCAACTCCACTAGGTGTGCCACGCGCGGAAGGGCGAGCCGGGAGTTCGACTAGGGGGCGTGCGGTCGAGGGCTGCGCGAGAGTCTCGGGGCCAGGAGTCGGCATGGGTGTGGTGGGCTCGTTGCTCATATTGTAAGATGTTGTAGTAATGGTGTTTGGACTTAAGATTGATGTCAGTGTTTTGATGCGCTTCGCAGTATGGTAATGAGTCTTGGTGCAAAGAAGTATTGAGGATGCTGGTTGTGCTGAGCAGAAAGTTGACTTCCCATTGACTTTATAGGCATGCCGCTACCACTTGCCGTTGGCAACAACTCACCATGTAATACAAGTGTTCGCGAAAGGTAGCTGGCTTTGCTGACATTGTACGTCTCTTTCCTGGTCTGGATCAAGTCAACCAACGCTACCTCGACGGACTCTCGATGTCCGTTGTCTTTTGACAACAAAAGCTTGGCACTGTTTACTTCACCAAACCAAACCAAACCAATATTTGTCACGTTCCTTGCTGATGCTACTCGTCATACCAGTGCTCTATCAAGGGAACAGTGCCAATCTATTTTGACGAATTTGACAAAATCTGATCTTATTCACTGGCGATACGTATATCCAAGGCATGGCCTTTCTATTTCGTCGCTGCATATAGTTTGTCCCACGAAAGGTATGGAGGAATAGAAGGAACGCGCCAAGGGGCGGTTGAAGCTCACAGCGAACTAATCAAGGGAATCTTAAATTAAGGATACACGGTACATAATAACACGGGCCCTTAACCATGCGCAACATAACCCAAACAATCACAGGACTTCATCTTCTCCCTCATGCATAATCTGTCCAATAGCCTCCACCGTCTCACACATCCGTCTAGCAAGCTCACCATCAGGCTGGATCCTCTTCTCAGTCCAGTAGCCGAACAGAAACTCTAACTGATCTTGCGCGAGGCTACGTAGGTATCGCGTTGGTATAGGATGAACAGCGTGGAGGGTAACATACTGTTCCGGCTGTTCTTGATCAGTATGTATATCGCGACTCTCAAAGCTGGCTGGACATAGTCTTACTATAGTACATTCTCGACTTGGTGAAGGATCTGGAAATAGAGGAGGTGCAAACATGGTGTCTGAGGACATGGGTAGTCGGATGTAAGTGTAGTATGGTGAGGCGCGCATCTGATTCAATGTCTGGTATTGACCCCAGGAAGCAACTATGACCCTATCGTGATCAAAATCTAGCAGTGACTCTGCTTCGTACGCATTCTGTCGAGCCCCGCGAGTTGCGCCCAGTGCCGCGGAAGGTAACGCAGGGCTCTCGGGGTCTGCTCGAATACTTGCTGTTGGCGGGCTGTTCATGTCGATATGATACATTCTGATGTATGAAAATTAGGCGAGAGTAATAGAAAAGGGGATAGAAGTGCTGTGCAGCAAGGGACAGTTATATTGCCAAAAGCATGGGTCGTCTATCTTTGTTCTGAGCTTGGAATGATGCAGAGTTCTTCCATTTCGCTGGCTACAAACTATAGAGCTGTCCACGCGAACACTGTCAACATCTTTACGCCAGTTACCGCTTGATAGATATAGCCTGGCTTCGTTGGCTGTCATGGTCCTTCGCGTGAGAACGATCATATTTGCTGTGGTATTGGCGACAACAACCAGCTTCGTCTAAATTCTCAAGCAAACCATTCGTCAATACTGATGATGCGCATTCGTGTTCACAAAGTAATGTTACAGATGAAATGCTTCATTTACAAACGGAACATGGCTATGGCTATCTCAGGCAAGAAAAAAACTTGTAGAACCCTACCCAGAGATTTACTTCCAACCGCCAGCACCACTGATGCCATCTACACTCGTGTCGATTAGCCTATGTATCATAAATTTTGGAAGGTTCACTTACTCTTCTTTCTCCACGCTTGCTGTTCGTGAGGAAATATAGCACCAGCCTCATCATAAGCCCTCTTGTTCATTTCATCCAAGAGAATGGCCGCTGCCCACTTGATCTCAACCATACGTTTCTCAGCATGTTGTCTCTTGGAGTCTGACATCGCAGTATCGAGTGTCTTCTGATGGATCTTGTTCAACACTGTTTGGGTAGTCTCGATGTCTTTGACTGGTGTGCGCCCTCTGTCGGGCAGACCAATGAGTTCGTACGGGTCTTTCCGCTTTTCTTCGTCGCTGTCGGAGTCGTCATCGTCGTCGTCAGAAACGAGCTGATTTTGTGGGATCGGGGAGGACCGCCGTGGTCTTTCCCTTTCCGGTAGCACGCGCTGCTGGTTGTATGATTGACTATCCAAGTCATTTGTTCGGTTTCTGGAGGCATCCAGCTGTCGCTGTCTCTCCTGATCCCGTCTCTCTTGATCCCGCCTCTCCTGATCCCGTCTCTCCTGATCTCGCCTCTCCTGATCTCGCCTCTCCTCCTCTCGCCTCTCCTGATCTCGCCTCTCCTCCTCTCGCCTCTGCTGCTCCCTTTTTGCGGCTGCTTCCTGACGTGTTTGCGCAAACCTTCGTGCAGCATCAATCTTTTCCTGCTCTGTCCTCTCCGTCATCTCACGCGTCTTACGATCCAGCTCGTCTTGTATGCTCTTCGCTTCGTCAATGCGCAGTATTGTGTCCTCTTTCAAATTGTTTTCAATCCTGTTCCTTTCGAATCTTTCCTGGGCCTCCTTGAACTTACGAGCCTTCTCTTCCGCTGCCTCAATCGTCTTCTTCGCTTCAGCTTCCAACCTGGCTCGCTCCTTCACGGCTAGTTCATCCTCGTATCTGTTCTTCATCTTCTCGTTGCGGTTGTTGTCTTTGTTGAGTCGGTCGAGATAGAGCTCGTTTTTGTCTTGTTCGGAGGACCCTTGGATTTGAGCGGGCGCTGGGGCTCCATGCGAGTGCACTACAACGTTCTGGGTGGGAGCTGAAGCTATATGCGAGTGCACTACAACATTCTGGGTGGGAGCCTGGCCAATCATCGCTGGTGGTGGTATCTGCTGATTGATGAAGAAGTTTGGTTGGGGCAAGTTGAAAGAGTAATTCTGTTGCATCTGCTGGAGGAAGGACTGCTGGTGCTGTCCAAGCTGGAGGAAAGCCCATCCGCCATGACTTGAGAACACCAAATCCACGATGTTTTGAGCGGTGATCATCATATCGTCAGCCACTAACGAGAAGCCTTCCAGTCGTAGGACTTCTATCTCTTCCAGTAGGATATGAAAAGCCATGACCAGTTCCTCGTCAGGGTAAGCACTCAACGCAAAAATCGAAATCGGGTGCCGGCGAGTCAGCACAGAACGGCGAAATCGGCCTGAAATACGGAGGGTAAACATGTCGCAAGCTGAAAAGCTAATTCGGAATATGATACTGATGTGAGTACGATGATGATAGATAGAAATGCAGGAGATACGATGGGGAGGGCATGCGCATAGAAAAGGACGGCTTTGTATTGCGTGCGGGTGCGCTCTTCGTGTGATGCTTAATATGGAATCCCAAGGGCGACTTCCAATACCCACCACATGTCAATAGTTACGCATGTCAAGCGTCGGCCTGTGAAGATTCGATCATCCTCGTACGTGTTTACCGCAAACGTCGTGGATACTGTAACGCACCAGGCTTCTTGGGCCACGCCCAATCTTGGAAAAAATGTGGTGAAGCATGATCAACCCGAAAGATTCACAGTCGTTGATAGCAAAGGCAGAGTGAGATCAGCGTGATGTGTAGGAACTTGCAACCTTCCCATAATTGAGAACGCGGAAGGATCAATAGCCAATGATGTCATCATTACTAAGCAACCCGAGGTCCACTCGCTCATCACCACAGTCGTCCATAATCATAGCAACAAGCACGTCTGGATATGAATCTAGTACCATGTATCTCTACTACAGCGGCTCTGTATGGTAAAAGTTTCTGGCGATGTCAGCGCAAGTAAGTGCCCATCGCTGGACAGCGCCATAGCGTGTTGATCCACAGCAGCCTGAACGCGCACAACAGCATGACATTCTATAGGTCACATCAGACACGCTTTCTCTGAATCGATTTCGTGTTCATTTGATCAAGCTACCAGTTCCTCAACATCTCCATATGCGCAACAAATTCCGACTTCGTCATGCTCATCCGGCCCTCTTCCTAAACTAGGTGCTTTCCCTGTTCGCCCAACGTAGCCTGACGCCTCCTACTTGGCGCCATGCTCCGCCTTCCAAGCCGCATATTCTCTGTCGTCCTTCTCCTTCTCCGTCTCGGGGCGTACTCCAAGGCAGTTGCCATAAGCGTCAAATTCTTGAATCATATGTTTGTCTGGCAGCGCTGCCGGGGACGGTAGAGGAGCTGGGGCTGGAGGGGGTACAAAAGTTATGTTTTGCTGTGGAGCTGGAATGGTCTGGATGGTAGCATTCGGCATTGGCGCTGTCTGTGTGATTGAGGGTCCTGACCACAGACTCGGGAATGAGCCTAAGCTTTGCTGGTGCAGACTGATGCGTGATATGCCCATGAAGCCTCCGTTCCTCCGGTTAAGGGTAGACATAATTCTCGACTGAGTCTGCTTCACGCCTGGTTGTTGAAATACGGATATGAACCCGCCCATTCGCTTCTCATCGATCTCATTGTAGAGACCAACAAGGTCTTCATCCGAGAAAACATCCAGTTGAAGATACCCCCAAGGATGTGGGTACAGGTGCATAGAAGGAGCACCGAGTGATCGCATAGTGTTGAACATATTTCAGTAGCGTTTTCGATGATATTTCTGTGTGCTTCGAAATATGGGTACAAGTTGGCTTTGCTCAAAGTTGGAGGGAATGGGACCGTAGATAATCAGGAAGGGTAATGTTTAGTATAAAGAGGAGGTACTGCGGAGATGGCTTTTATGATAGACTGACATTGAAGTCAGGGGTCTTGAGTATGTGTCGATTGCCAGCATGCTGTGGAAATGTGATACCTGAATCGTATCGTTCCGCAGGGACACCACTGAGTCTTCACATGAGATCGTGAAGGTTGTGAACAAAGAACTCCTTGTGCCGACGTACCTTAGTTTACATGATACGTAGAGACCGTGACCGATCCTCAATAAAAACCTACTCACGTTGCGGAGAAGATCTACTTTGTGACAGTCTTGACGCACACTCCATCTACCGGGCTCTGAATCTAGCATAGCAGCGGACCTGTTCACATTCCGCCTTTTGCAGCGCATCCAGTGATAATTTAACCTATGAGATAAGAGCAGAATGTAAAATCAGCATCATTTACAACTACTTAATCATTGGATGTCTCCGCCATTGCTATCGTTATCATCATCCCTCCTTCCTTTCCCACACCCCCATGCGTTCTTCATCCTCCATCATCGCCCGGAGCCATTAGCTTCAATCGCTATCACTGTCGTAATCGAAGAACCCTCGCCTTCCAAAGCTCCTAGGACTTCTCACATACCCGATGCGTGGTGTGACAATTCCCCCAATCACAAAATTTTGCACCGGTGTAGAGGTCATAGTCAGTGTGGCCACAGGAGCAGGAATGCTGAGCACCTGAGGTTGTTGCAGTTGCTGATAAACCACGTTCTGCTGCAGCTGCGGCTGTACTTGCTGGTGGTAGATGACATTCTGCTGCGCGGGTTGTTGTACTGGTGGCTGTTGTACTTGTTGATGGTAGATGACATTCTGCTGTGCAGGCTGTTGGACGGGCTGCTGTTTTACTTGCTGATGAACGACGACATTCTGCTGAGGCGGCTGTTGAGCTGGCATCTGCGCCTGGACTGGTGCTGGTGCTGGCGCTGATATCTGCATGTTGATGTTACCACCCCCTCCCACTTCTCCGAGCATCACCGCGCCGTGCGTCCTGAGATACTCTTCGATCCTACTAGCCGTGCCTCGAACGTTACTTCTTTCCGGGAACTTCTGCAGTTCTCTGTACATGTTGTTGTGTGTCTGAAGAAGGTAGTCCAGACTCTGCCTCTCGATCCAATCCAGGGGCCAAGGATGCTCAGGATAGTCATCCATTCCGCAAAAGTTAGGAGCATGCCTATATGAGAATGCCATTCCAAAAGGCATGATAAGCAAGGTACGCGTAGACGGTCTCGGTATTATGCGGTATTGCGGTGGGTTTTCTTATCGTGTCGATCTGTCGTTGGCGAGGTTTTGCTGATGCTGGTGGTGAGTATAGTCAAAAGAAGGGTTGGGAAACAAACCTTATGTACTTGGTAGCGTACAGATTGTATCACGGTCTTGGAAAGCCGCGAACACGCAGCTGTTGCGCACTAGCCTTCTGTGACAGGAGACCTAGTTCACTGACGACGGATACGATCTAGGGAACGCCATGAGTTGTCTTTGCCAACGGTGCATACACCATCTCTCGGAACCGTGTTTGCGAACATGATATCCGAATGTTCGATGCCTCTTCACAATAGTCGGCAGAAACGTTGTGCGTGGAACAACACAGAAGTTGAGGTGTTCCTGTCACGTCAGCGAGCCTTCACAATTTCGCAACTAACGTACCCAACCCAATCCCCACTCTCCCTCACCCACATCCCCAATCCCCGTCCTAGATCTACCTCTATAAGTCAAAGTCCACAGCCTAGGACTATCTCGATAACATAACAACACAGCATTACCAACTGAACACAATGTCAAACACCCCAACTCTGAACGCCTTCTCTCATCCCCACCCCTGGGCACCCACCACCATCCGGCTCTCGCCCATTCCATCTCTCATCTCCGCTCAAGCCTCCATAACACACCGACTCTACATTCTAGACTGCCGCGGCCACGATGCACGTGACATGCAGCGAACGCTAAACTACATCACAGCCGAGCTGCGGATGCGAGAGATCGAAGACCTAGCTCTGGCAGAAGCTAGTCGCAAGATCGCAAGTGCGGAGGGCAAAGACGGTAACACGGAACCCTGGATCAAGAAGAAGGACGGAGGTGCGCGGATGCGGGAGATGGAAGATGAAGATAAGCGCTGGGAGAAGGAAAGTGGTGGAAACCCGCGTTGGGGTGAGGGTAGAACTGCGCATCTGTACGGCAAGTGAACATTCATAGTCATGGGACCGAGCACGTATGCAATGATGAACTAGAAATGTATCGAGATCCCGCAATGCGCTATCAAGTAGTAATGTATATGATACATGTTGCGATCCAGTATTGCTTGGGTATCATACCTGTACGCCTGCAAATGCCCAAACTTTCGAGACGCTGTGTCAAATCAATCTTCCGCGTCTCCTCCGCCGCGTTCCATGCGCGCTCTGATGTCTCTCACTAGTGCTTTCGCATCTTCTACCTCTACGCCGTCTTGACAGAGCTCGTTCGCTAGTTCCATGGCCCGTTGGTACATGCCGCGCATGTACTCCCATCTAGCAAGCCAGAGTCGGGCTTTGCTTGTCGTTGCAGTGACGCCGACACCACCGGCAGCTTCAGAGCCCACTTCTTCGTAGTCTGGCCCTTCTTCTTGTGCAAGCACTAGCTCCATGTATGCCGCGCATTCGTTCATGTTGTTTATCCTCTCATACAACAGGGCGATCTGGTAGAGTACTTCTGGATCGAGGATACCTCCACCGAGACCAGTAACTTCACTGCTCCCAAAAGAGGCTCCGACACCAGCATCATAATATGAGCCTGCGACCAACGCGCGTTTGTATGATCGAATGCCATTCATGATCTTGCCCACTTTGCCGAAACATTGGCCAACCGCCATCCATAGCTTCGGATCGTAGGGTCGCAGCGCAGCGGCGCGTTGGTGATAGAAGAGAGCGTACGAGTGCATCTCCAGCATCTCGTATGTTTGGCCAAGTCCATACCAGGCGCGGTAGTCTTTGCGATTGACATCAACAGCGCGCCGGTACGATTCAATAGCGGCGTGGGTGTTCTTCATTTCGACGAACTCGTGTCCCATGAGCGTCCAGGCGGAAAGGAAGGTTCGATCCAGAGTTAGAGCTCGCCGAAAGTACATGACGGCTTTCTCATGCTCCGACTTGAGCGAGTAGTAATTGCCCACCACGCAGCATGTCTCCGGTCGGAATTTGTCGGTCGCTGTGGCGAGCTGTGCTAAGAAGGCCAATTTAGGTCGCATGCCCATGACATACAAGATGTTGGAGTAATTGTCGAGATGATCGACCCGATGTGGATCTGATACGAGCAAGTCGGAAAAGATCTGTTCGGCATCGTCGAAGTCTTTGTTGTGGTAGTGGAGCAACGCCCGTTGGGTCTTCAGAAAGGCCGATGATGGGAAGATGGTCAATATTTGCGACAGCGAAGTGTGGATCTGTTCGTTGACTACGTAGAGCTCCTGCGATGAAGTGACGTGGAAGATGAAAGTCATGAGGTTCTGTGGTAAGCGTGTGACGATGCCATTGAGCTCTTCCATGGTGGTTAGGAGTGCTTGTAGCTCTTGCCACGCACCCCAGTTGTAGGTATATTGGTGGACACTTTTGATCAGGTAGTCGATAGCAAGCTGCTCGTTCTTTCCCTTGGCCAGGACCATACCGTATAGGTACTCCAGCCAGCCCTGCGGTTGCCGCCCGCTGTTGGGCAGGTCTTTGAACCACTCTTCAAGAACAGCAGATACTGTGGGCAACTCCTTGTTCAAGGTGACGCCTCCATCTTGAGGGCCGAGAATCATCTCGCTGTCCTCGTTCATGCGCTTCTCCCCAGCTATGTATTTGGCATAGAGGGCAAGGAACAGGGCCTTCTGACTGATGCCCTTCATTGTATCGTTGGACAGCTTGGACTTGGATGGCGTGACCATCTTCGCCTTCCCCTTGGCGCCTTGCTTCGCCTTTGCTGTAGGCGTAGCAGGTGCCTGTGAGGCGCCCTTGGGCAGAGGGCCAGGCAGGAAGACGGCGGCGCATCGATCATACTCGCGGCAGTCGAAGTATGTCTTGGCGAGGAGGAACTTGTGCGTCTCACGTGCTTCTAGGCGTGCTTCGATGGGGTCTTTGCGTACGAGATTGGGTGTCTGCGGCGGTTGCGCATCCGACATGGGGGAGTCGACGTCGGTGTCCGAGCCTTCGTCATCGGCCGATGGGAGCGAATCGAGTAATTCTGCGGCCCTTGTCAATATCAGCATGCAAAAGTCAGTCTACGTAACCATTGGTACTCACCATTTCGCCGAGTGATAGAGACAGCGCTCTGTGCAGCCGATGACGGCGTCCTGGAGCTGGGCCTTGAGTTGGGCCTCGTCGGCCGGCGATAGAGTTCCCATCGCGTCGCTATCAGAGAGAGATTACTATCTGCGCGCTTCAGATCATGGTTCAGGGCTCTATCGCGTGATGTCGCTGCCGCCGATGCGCGTGTTGATGGGGAGCTTCCTGTCGTGGTAGGGTGGGGCATAAACAATGGCCCGGCGAGCGGTTAAAGGTTGCGCCGCTGCGCCGCGGAAATTGGCCCCTTCACCGCCCGCACCCCTACATCTGCTACTGCCCCTCTATCTTGAACACTGCTCTGCGAAGATACCCAATTCACTGCGTTCAAGATGCCCACCACACTCAAAGAATTCGAGAGCGTATGGCCGCGCATTGTGGCCGACCTGCAGGAGCACTGCAAATCATACAAGCTGCCCCAGCAGTCTCTTGATTGGTTCACCAAGGTAGATATATCCCGAGCAACGCATCCAGGGTCCAGCAAGCTCACCATGTCCCATAGTCACTGGACTACAACACTGTCGGCGGAAAATGCAACCGTGGCATGTCTGTTATCGACACCACTTCAATTCTGCAGAACAAGTCTCTTGACCCATCGTCAGAAGAGTACTTCCGTGCTGCCTTGCTAGGATGGATGATCGAACTTCTCCAGGCCTTCTTCCTGGTTTCGGACGATATCATGGACTCTTCAAAGACCCGTCGTGGCAATCCCTGCTGGTACCTTGCACCTAAGGTCGGCATGATCGCCATCAACGACGCCTTCATGCTGGAGTCGGCCATTTACGTGCTTCTCAAGAAGCACTTCCGTCAGGAGAAGAGCTACGTCGACATGATGGAGTTGTTCCACGAGGTCACATTCCAGACCGAATGCGGTCAATTGTGTGATCTGTTGACTGCACCCGAAGACGATGTCAACCTTGACAACTTCAGCCTCGACAAGTTCACTTTCATCGTCATCTACAAGACTGCTTACTACTCTTTCTACCTCCCAGTCGCACTGGCACTCTACTATGCCGGTGCAGCCACACCAAAGAACCTCCAGACCGCAGAAGACATTCTCATCCCCATGGGCGAATACTTCCAAGCACAAGACGACTACCTCGATGCATTTGCTGACCCCACTGTTCTCGGCAAGATTGGCACCGACATCATGGACAACAAGTGCTCATGGCTGATCAATCAGGCCCTGAAGAAGGTCACTCCCGAGCAACGAAAGGTGCTAGAGGAGAACTACGGTCAGAAGGACTCGCAGAAGGAGGCCAAGGTCAAGGAGCTGTACCATGAGCTTAAGCTGAAGGAATTCTACGAGCAGTGGGAAGAGGAGCGCGTTACCGAGCTGAGGGCGAAGATCGACAAGGTTGATGAGAGCGAAGGCTTGAAGAAGGTCGTCTTCGAGGTTTTCCTCCAGAAGATCTACAAGAGGAGCAAGTGAGCTGAAGACTAATTATACCATAGGTGGAGAAACACCTCGGGTGTCCACAGAATCTAAACGAACTGTCCGAACTTTCCATGTGGCTCGCAATAACTTGTTCGCGTTGATCAACTAAGATGCCATTGACACATGTAAAGTAGAACACAACAGCTTGCAGTGAACCACCGGCGCAGATGCCATTGGAGGCGTGGGTGATGAAGGAACTTGCACATCCAATGGCATACACGTGGACGAATCGCGCTAGGCGCGGGCCGGCCAAAGTGGAGCGAGCCATCCCTCCAGCTGTCGCGAGATCCAGTGACGCCGCGTCGCGTCTGCGACCACGAACCTTTTGTCCCACCTCTACTAAAACGACAACACGCATGCCTCTCGTTCTCGCGTACTCACCCGTGCATCTGACGGGTACTAATATTTATGTTTATCTTCGCGCTAAGCGCAATCTGAAGGATGGTGGTACCTGACAATATGGGGGCCAGATTCTGCGACTCAGGCGCCCTGTCAATCAAAGTGGCGTGGTTTACTATGCCCTGTCCCGTGTAACCACCATACTGAAAGTACTCTTTCGTCTTCTGGTCTCTGTTGCTTTACTGGGCCAGCATGTTTTCCAACTTTGCCAGTGCAATATCTGGTAATGCTCCAGAGAGAGCAAGCAAAGATGAAGGAGCCTCACTCACGTCGGTCCTCGAGACACCCACCCTACGCGTGGAACTGGCACTCCTCGTCCTCCTAAGCATCGATGCCATGCGAAACGATCTCACGGCCACCTTTGAGCCATACAACAACCCCGAACCGAAACCCTCCCTTGCGACCCGGTCGCCCGCACCCAAGCCTGGAAATCAGGCACCAGATCTCATGAGCTTCGACCAGCCGAGACAGACCACCAAACCAGCGCCTCCCACTAGGCAATCATCACAAGAACATGAGTCCACACAAATGCAGGCTTTGCGACGGAGCGCCTTGACGTTCTTCGATAAATGGCGGGCAAGTGTCATGCATCGAATATGCGACGTCCTCTCTGTACGGGGTGAGACTGTCCGTCAAGCGAAAGCAAAGCGGAAGCAAATGCTGGACCAAGCCGACAGGCAAAACCAGGGAATCTCTTCGCTCATCGATTTCGACGACCTCGATCCCTTCGCAAACGCGGCTCCCACACGACCCAAGAACACAAGACACGGGCACTATGAGGTGATCGAGACTAGACTGCTAGCTCTTGAGGAAGATAAGCGTGTGCTGGTCTTACACTGCCTCCTGTTGCTCTTACTGAGCTTGGAGCAATACTCGGCATATTCGCGCATCTTGTTGATACGTTTGGCAAGCAGTCTTAAACTAGAGGCTGATTTGCTGGGCGAGCATGAGAAGTCGGTTGCACAAGGTCTGCTAGCCACGGCTGCCTCTCAGATGGACGCCGAAGCGACAGCCAAGAACCAAGCCTCAAACGATGCTGTGTCACGCCGTTGGAAGGTTGGTCTCGCGACCGTGGGCGGTGCGGTTCTCATTGGTGTTACTGGTGGTCTTGCTGCGCCTCTACTAGCCGCAGGTCTGGGTACTGTCATGGGCGGACTAGGCCTGGGAGTCGTTTCAACATATCTTGGTGCATTGGCGGGCAGCTCGGTGCTCGTTGGATCACTCTTCGGAGCCTATGGTGCGAAGATGACGGGGCGTCTAATGGACCAGTATGCGAAGGAGGTTCAAGATTTCGAATTCCTTCCGGTTCAAGGTATGTAAAGCGGAGATGAAGTCTTGCTTGAAGCTAAATGTACCAGATCCCGATCGACCGACGAATCAACGGGAGCTCGACTGGGCTGACGAGCAAGATGCCCGTGACCCACAGAAGCGTGAACAGCATCGGTTACGCGTATCCATTGGTGTCAGCGGCTGGCTGAGCTCCCCATCCGACGTCAGCAAGCCTTGGGAGGTGGTCGACTCCGGTACAACTGAGCCATTCGCATTGCGTTTCGAGCTTGATGCCATGCTGCGTCTCGGCAACTCCCTCAACGACGTACTCTTTGGATATGCCTTCGACGGCGTCACCTACACTGTTGTCAGTCGCACGCTTCTTGGCGCTTTGTACGCAGGTCTGTGGCCTCTTGGTCTCGTCAAAGCTGCCAGCGTCTTGGACAACCCCTTTCTTGTTGCACTCGCACGAGCCGACAAGGCTGGCAAGGTTCTTGCGCATGCTCTCATCGATGGCGTACAAGGGAAGCGACCTGTCACTCTTACGGGCTACTCAGTAGGTGCACGTGTCGTATACGCATGTCTGATCGAGCTTGCGGAACAACATGCGTTCGGTCTTGTGGAGTCAGCTGTTCTCATGGGTACACCTGCTCCTGCCAACAGCAAGCGATGGAGGCAAATACGATCAGTTGTCGCGGGACGCGTTGTCAATGTTCACAGCACGGAAGATTATGTACTCGGCTTTCTCTATCGGTCAGCCAAACTTCAGGTAGGTGTCGCTGGTCTACAAAAGATCGAAAATGTCCATGGCGTGGAGAATATCGATGTAAGCAAGCTTGTCAGTGGCCACGACCAGTATCGGTACTTGGTCGGTACGATACTTGTGAAAGTCGGACTCGGCGATGTGAATTTCAACAAGGTCGCTGAACAAGAACGGGCTCTTGAAGAGGCAGAAAGGCGGAAGAAACAGGCACAAAAGGAGGCTAAACGTAAGGCAACGACTGAGCAAACGAAGGAGCCTGTCGCCAGGCCTCAGAGTCGACCGGTTGCTGCGGCTCACGACTCTTCGAACTCTCTGATAGATCTTACAGAGCCAGAGCCGGCCAAAGCTCCTGCCTCCAACAGCGATCTGTCTGGTCTTTCCTTCACCTCCACTGGTGTATCCACGACTGAGCACCCCTCTTCGAACGTCAAATCATCCACCCCGGCTCTGCGTAAAACACCTATGGAAGAACCCAAGAGCTTTCCTGATACCACTACGAGATCGTTCCCAGAACCACACGATCTATCAAGCCCCGAGAACTCGGCTGTCCGGCTGCAGAAGAAGGGGACCGAAGTCGCTGTTACCGAGGTTCTTGTCTTGGAAGGTAGTGATGCTGCTAAGGACAAGAGTATTGATAACGAGCGTGATGACGAGTTTGACGACTTCGACTATGATGCCGAAGAAGTTAGTAGCGAGTTTGGAGAACTCAGCATGGTAGAGCCGCTGCCTATGGACGACTTCGATTATGGATTGATGTAAGGGCGCATGGACCAATTACATCTTTCTGATAGCTCGCAAGGTCCGCCCAACCTGACTAGTGGCTGTAGCATGGCACGCCTCGATTATGCACGTTCCTTGTATGACGGCTTACATGTAAGGCATCAGCTTGGCTTTCATGGAACCAAGACATTCTTCTCAAGCCTCGGATGATAAGCCGGATTAGTGAACGCGTTACGCGCGTAACGGTATAAAGTCATATGTATTCAATCAAGTTCAGGAAAATCTTTATATATCCCAGTTTGAATCGATCAGTAGAAGCAGGCACTGCGACGGAAACACCAACCATCTTGCTAACTTCAACCCATTCATCATGCTATTAGCAACACATCCTCCACCCACATCACCGTCCCTATCCTTCTCTAAACTCGGACCGCGGATATCTCTCTATACCCCACCATCACACACCACTGGCGAACTCATTATCCTATGCACATGGCTCGGCGCCGCCCGAAAGCACATCGACAAATACATCGCCGTCTACCGTACCATCGCACCCAATGCCAAGATCCTACTCATCCAAAGCGACGTAACATCCGTCACAAGCTCCTACCCAGCACAACACAAAGCCATCTTGCCAGCCGTCGAAGTCGTGCGCTCTGTACTGAGTGACTGCACTTACACACCATCTACCAACGTCCCTTCATCTCCAACAGCAAACACCACCAAAATGCACCCGACCCCCAAAATCCTCGTTCACACCTTCTCAAACGGTGGCCCTATCTCCGCTACCGCCCTCCTCCTCGCTCTCCATACTCAAGCCTCAACACCCTTACCCATCACCGGTATCATTATGGACTCTGGACCTGCGGCAGGATACTACTGGAAATCATACAACGCCATGATTCTCTCTCTCCCACCAGGTCCCATCCGCTCAGCAGGCTACGTCTTCGTCCACGGTATCCTGATCATCTTGCGGGCGAGTGTAGCGTTGGGACGGTACGAGCACCCTGAGGTACTGGTTCGTCGGACGCTGTTGGATGAGGAGTTCGTTTCTGGGGCGGAGAAGGGGAAGAAGAGGAGGGTGTGTTACTTGTATAGCAAGGCTGATCGGATGACGGACTGGGAGGATGTTGTTGCGCATAAGGAGATGGCGAGGGAGAAGGGGTGGGATGTGGGAGAGGTGGTGTTTGAGGGGACGCCGCATTGTGGGCACTTTGTGGGGAATGAAGAAGTCTATGTTGGAGAGATGGGAAATATGTGGGAGGGTAGGACGTTTGCACAGTAAGGGTTTTCTGATTTGCTGGTTTGTTTGGAGGACAAGTCGCTATACGAAAGATCCGTTGCTGGCTTGGCGCTCATTGTCTTGTTGATTATGACTCTGGTACTTCATCCGCCCATGGTATACTCGACTGTGCTCCCGCTTTCTGCACTGTCATTGATGCCGCTCTATTGGCATGCGCAATTGCAGCATCGAGGTCAAAGTCTGCTCCCCTTGACATCGCTTTCCAACGCGCGACAGCAACCGTGTATGCGCCCGCAAACGTGTCGCCTGCAGCTGTTGTGTCGACAACCTTGACTTTGCGTGCCGGCACAACGTGGCCTTGCTGAGATGACTCCTGTTGCTTTGCCGTCTTGTAGAACACGCCCTGAACACCCGAGTCAGTACTAGTCAGATTGCAAATCGGGGGATCACTTACCTCGCCACCAAGCGTAATAATAACATTCTTAACCCCCCTCGCAATAAACACAGCAGCAACCTCGTCCCACGAAGACGGCTTCTCGATCCCTGACAGAATCATCGCTTCCGTCTCATTAACGATAAGATGACCCAGCCCATGATACGCTTCATCCGGCAGCGGCACCGCAGGCGCAGGATTAATAATAGTCTCAACGCCCTTCTCCCTCGCCGTCTTCATGTTGTGCAGCACAACCTGCAGCGGCAATTCCAACTGAAAAAGAGCAACCCCCGCATCCTCATCCACAAGATCCTGCACCTCAACATCGCCATTGGCACCGGGACAAAACATAATCCTGTTCTCTCCGGACCCCGTCTCGACGATAATGACCGCAACACCCGTCTTTTTCCCTTTGAGGACCTGCACCTTCTCCGTCGACAACCCATCTTCCCGTAGAGCTTTCAAGAACCCCTCGTGGAACTCGTCGTCACCCACTGCACCCACCATCCTCACTTCGACATCGGAGTCCTGGGATGAGGAAGCTTGCGCTTTGGTGCGAGAGAGACGCGCACATGCGACGGCTTGGTTTGCGCCTTTCCCGCCCCAGCCAATGTTGAAGGATTCACTGGTTAGCGTTTCGCCGCCGACGGGGACGCGAGCTGTACGGGTTACGAGGTCGACATTTAGGGAGCCGATAACGGATATGACGGCTGGTTTGGAAGACATTTTGGATGTTGGGTATTGGAATGTAAAGTTTGGTGAGGGTAGGGTGTTGTATAGGATATGCAATGAGGCTCTGGGAGGTTAGCCGAAGACGCTATCTTGATTAGGTTAGCCGAGCCGACGATCCATGGATGTGATGTAATGCTGGGGGTGAGAGATCTTCCATTACAAGTTACCTACCTAGGTAGGTATCTAACCCTGAAACCCTCTAACAAGATTCACACATCATCACCGACACGACAACCATCCCTCGAAATGCCATTCAATCTGATCCTAGACCTTCTTCCCGACGATTTCGACCACCTCCACATATCGCCAGATCGCTGGCAAGAGCAAGAAACCACAATAACCCTCATCACGAAGCAAATCCAACGAGAGGAGAACCATCCCTTCGATCCGCACCGAAAACCCCTCCAAGTCTCTCTCAGCATCAACAATCCCCAAACCTTAGCAGAACTAGGCGAGCAGCTCTCCAACTTACCACCCAGGATCCAAACCCTCACCCTGACTCTACCCCAAAACCCGCCTGGCGCGAAGCTTTCCATGTCAGATGTCGACTTGCCGGTCAAATACATCACACACCTACGCATCAAAATCTTGCCTGACGACTTCCCCGAATATGAGCCCACGCCAGAAGACTGGAATGAGCTCGCTCAGGCGTGGGGGGATGCATTTTTTTGCATGCCAGGGCGACATCACATCGAGAATGTTCTGTTGGACCTACGCGGCATAGACCCTTTCGTGATACCAGACATCGTTCCTCTTCTAGTGGAGGTGACGACGGAGTTGTACACGAGAACGAAAGAAGAAAGTGGGAGGGAGTTGGTTTTTGGCGTTGTGGGTGCGGAGAGGCAGAGGCAGTGGATAGAGGGGCAGTTGCCGGGGAAGTCGGAGGATGACTTGTTTGACGAGGAGTTGGCTGCTGCGCGAAGACAACGTGGTGGTGGGTAGAGTTGAGTGGTATGTGGTAGTTTGGCTGGGAGATTTATAATGAGTATGTGCAGCTTATGTGACTTGTCATTGTATTTGGTCTTCGTAGATCATCCGCATCGTCCTCGCTCACCATTTGCTACACGCACGCTCCGTGCTCGTCACATCTTGGAGAAAGTCGTGTTAGCTGATAGAAACATTGCAACATTGATATTCGTGCCCACACGGCGAAACCGTCATCCTACAATCCTCTAATTCAACCTACTCATCAACTTGACATGGGACGAACTTTTCGCAATCCGCCTTAAGTCGCATCGCGCATCTAAATACCACTTTCCACAGGGATATTGACTCCCAAATTCCGCAACTTATCCGTCGCAGCCTCAACCAGCATGCTATTCCGCTGTATGAGCTCCTGCACCTGCTCGTTCTCTGCTTTCCTTGAGTAGCTGGGTACTTTGACACCGCTACCTCTCGCTTGCTCGTGTTCGCCTGCTTGCTTGGCATTCCTCATAGCTGCTTCGATTTGTTGCGCTTGCTCCTTCTGCACCTCCTTGAGCCTGTTGAAACGCTGCCAGGCCGGACGTTCGCTGCCATCAACAGTGTCGGTCAAGGTCTCGCTTGCAGGGTCAATGGCGCTGTCCATAGTCTGCAACTCTTCGATCCAGTTGCTCTCCTTTTCGCTGAGTTCGCTGGAGCCGATGCTGACCATCTTTCGTCGAAGAGCTTCGTAACGCGCGTTGATCTGATCTTGTCGCGCTGTAACCTTCTCCAAACGCTCGTCGATGTTGGCGCTGCCGTATGTTGATCCGTTGTCTGAGCCGACTTGGTCGTTGCCGGTGACACTGTCGATGTTTGCTGCGATCCCCGACGTCCGGTAGATTTGATCCCTAAACTCTTCCTGCAGACGCGTCGCGCGGTTGAACAGATCGGATACAGCGAGTTGAAGTTTGGAAGTCTGCGCAGAGAGTACGCGATGAACGTCCATAAGAAGCCCCAGGTTCGCGGGAGATAGCCTAATCTCATCCTTGAGAGCACCTCTATGCCGTGCGGGGATGTTGATAGAATTGTAAAGATCGAACGGTTCGTAGAGTTCTTTTGGTGGTTGCCAAGCTTGACGCACTTCCTTGTTAGGGCCAGTGATTGCCATGTATTCGGCAATCTCCTCTTGGGTAGGGAGTCCTTCTTCAGGTGCATCGAGCAGAGCAGCTTGAGGCTCACCGTCGACTGTGGTGAGAAGAAGGTAACCGACGTTTCCGTCTTCGATAACGGCGACTGCGGTGACTTCTTGCTCGTCCACATCGCCAGAGACGCTTCGCTGTAGGTATTGGTCCACGGAGGTGTTTGCTGATTCCAATACGCGTTTGATACGGAATGGCGAACCCTCGGTCTGCGGCTGAGATAGTTCAGTCTCCAATTTTCTGACCCAAGGCTCCATTGAGACGTAGAAGACCCCGGTGGCGTGTGATACGAAGAACGAGAAGTCGGTGTGCACATCTGGCGTGATGCTCTGGTTGAACGAGGGTTCATCGCTTTCCACCAGTGTAATTGTTTCCGCAATGATCAGCTCGTGTTCGGTTGGTTCTGTGGTGTCAATCTCGTCTTCTGGTGATGGCAGCCATCGCCCAACGATGCCCTCAAGGTCCAAACAGACATGTACCTTGCTCGTTTCGGTGAGCAAGCACACGACAGCGGTTGGCAGACCCTCTGCAGCCTCCTCTTCTTCGCTCTCGGAGAGGGTCTTGAGGGAGAAAACAATCATGTCGCTAAGCTCAAAATCATCGACTTCAGGCGAGATCGTGAAAGGACCCTGTAGCAACGGCACCGCCGGCGCACTGTGTGGGCGAGCGAAGACCTGAACTGTGTCACCCTGCGCCCGCTCCTCGGCGAGAGGCTCCTCGTATAAGATGTCCGACAGCCATGAGACCTGCTTCTCTGATGTTTTTAACTCGTCTTTGGGCGATGTCTCGTCTTCTGAGAGCTCGGCATAGTTGATGTTGATGGACGAGGTAAGGGTTTGGAGGAATGTGTGGCTGCCGGGCGACTCAACCAACTGCCACTTGCTCGGTAGCAGAGGACAGAGCGCGTATACGTCTCCAAGTACCGTCGCGATCCACAGTGTCATCGGGGCCCAGCCATGGACACCTTCTTGGTCTGGGAAGTCGCCAAAGCATGCCGATGCAACTTCCAGCTCGACGGAGTCGGGAGAGAAGCCCTTGGAAGCTCCGAATTTGGAGGCGCTGAGATCGTCCTGGTCGCTGGTAGCGTTTGCGAGTTTGGGCAGATCGATTGAGAGCGACGGCTCACTGAAGGTAGACCTGTCGGCGCGGTTGATCTCCCATAGCCGAACTACGCCCGCCTTTGTGATGGTGACTAGGCAGCGCCCGTGATAGCCCAATGGGTGCCATAGTGTCGTTGCGACGGGCGACTCTTCGAGAACGTGTACGGTCGGTCCCAACTGGAAGGCCTTTGGCTTCAACGGGCCGTCGTCCTCTCCAGCTCCGAGCAGCGACGAGTCGGGAAGGTGTATTACGTGTACCGTATGCGAGGTAGAGACGGCGAGGTAGTCTTCTTCGGGCGAAATGACGAGACGCGTGATCGGGAGTGGTATCGAGACTCTGAGGGTTCGGTATGCGGGCTGTTGCTCTTCCTTGAGGTTGACCAAGTCTGCCCATCGTATCTCGTTCCCAACAGCGACGAAGATCTCAGATCCCCTCGTTGCGATTGTCTTTCGCGGTCCCGGTTCCTGCTTCTTTGCTGCGACTCCATTCCCGTTTGTCTGCTTCGGCGCAAACAGATGATAGCCTGGGTTCGGTCGGCTGAGCCAGTCTGGCGTATAACCCAGTACTTTTGGCATGACGGCGAGCTCCCTCGGATAGTGTTGAGAGAGTTAAGAGTGGGTAGGAAATAGCTGCGTGGATTGTAGAGGTAAGAGTGTGGACAAACAAAAGTTCCAGCCGCGCGATACAGCGCCAAGACCGACGCGTCTCGAGAGCTCCGAGCTCGACTTTCGACTTCCGATCCTTACACTCACTCCAAAACAACCCTCAATATCTTCTCACTCCCTCGGACCACGGTCGCTTCCTACAAATCTAGCCGACATCGAAGTTGAGGGCGCGCATCATGCCGGCGCTTCGCAGTACCATTGACCGCCTCGACAAGCCGAGTTCGTATGCGACAGCAAAGGTATGGGAGGCTACAACACATCGCATTAGTACTCAAAGACTGACTCTTTTCTAGAAGCGCAGACGCGACCGCAACGGACGTGACGATGACCGCGGCCGCTCTCCCTCGCCCGAAGACAAGCTCAAAGACGCAACCACCCTCTACGTCGGCAACCTTTCTTTCTACACCACCGAAGAGCAAATTCACGAGTTGTTCAGCAAATGCGGCGAGATCAAGCGCTTAGTCATGGGCCTGGACCGATTCCAGAAGACACCATGCGGATTCTGCTTCGTCGAATACTACACACACCAGGATGCGCTGGACTGCATGAAGTACATTGGCGGTACCAAGCTCGACGAGCGTGTCATTAGGACGGATCTGGACGAGGGTTTCGCCGAGGGAAGGCAGTACGGACGCGGAAAGAGCGGTGGGCAGGTCCGCGACGAGTACAGAGCCGAGTATGATCCTGGTAGGGGCGGATACGGCAGAGCTGTGGACGAATACCACGAAGCGCAGTAAGATGACGATGGACTACTATCTCTCGGATCACCAGGACGTTAATCACGAGAAAAAAGACCTAGGCCATATTGATCAGGAGAACCTCGCGCCGCCGCGCCATCCCACGTTGGCAAGCACGACTACGCTGAAACTGAGGACGATGAAGGGCACTTCAGTTACATGGGGAAGCTCGCCCAACCCAAACTCAGCTGGGTGTCCAAACACTGCAAAGAAGGCGTCTGGCGTCTATCATTCGGCATTGTTCATTAGTGCTTTAGTTATAAGCACATGCTCATAGGGGGCAAAGATACCAAATTAGATACCTTCCCAAAACTCAGTACCATCTTCCAAACACCCTCTCTTATGCTATACAAGAATGCCACCCAGCCATGCGCCTGTAAATGTCTAACATTTTCTGTCACTCATCTAGTCCGGTCCGCAAGTTCAAACTGCTGTCGCCTTTCCACGGCCTTTACAACCTCTCCCAACCACCAGACATGTATCCGTGGGTCATCCGTCAGTTCAGGATGGAAACTGCACCCAAACACATTGCCCTGTCGTACCGCTATTATATCCTCCGCACCCGGATGGTCATGTACCTGATTCTCCTGCAAAGGTTTCGCATTGGTCGACAGCGTAGCCATCACCTCAACTTCGCTTTCCAACTCCTTCCTCGCCAAGTCATCCACTGGTGTCTTACTCGGCGCAACAATCGTATCGTCCCTCTCACTCTCCCCTTCTTGTATGCCCACAGCCTTCTTACTCAGTAACAGCTTCTCTACAACAGGCGCGCGAATGAAGACGCATCGGTATGGATCGGTCTTGTTCGATTTGCTCGTCGACTCTAAGAAGGGCAGCTGGAGGTTTGCCTGGAAACTCTCGGTCTGTCGCCCGAAATGATTTCTGTTCACTCGCACGTCTAGACCTCCAATCAAGTCCTGGCCTCCCTTTTTCGTTCTATTGGCACTCTCTGCTAGCAGAATCAGGCCGGCGCATGTACCCCACGTTGGCTTGCGCTGCACCTTGACGAAGTCGCGGAGAGGCTCGAGCAGGGCGCTTCGTGCGGCTACGAGTGACATTGTTGTGCTTTCACCGCCGGGGATGATAAGCCCGTCGCATTGCGCGAGCTGGGCGGGTGTGCGGACTTCGATAAAGTGGAAGGTTTGCGACGAGGGGATGTTCGAGGATGCCGCGCGGAGGAGTTGGACGTGTTCGCTGAAAGCGCCTTGGAGGGCAAGCACACCGACCGTGATAATCTGAGTACCGTTCTTTACCGTCATATTAAAAATGAAACAGATGCCAGGAACTCCGTGACTGTAGGAAAAAAAGGAATTGAAGCGTCAAGGAAATGTACAGTCATGCAACGGAAAGTGACGGCAAAGGCGAAATCTTTATCGATAAGCCCAGCCCCCACTAAAACGCGGTAATCGCCCGCGCGAGCACATGTCACCTCACACATGCGTTTGGTTCAACCCTTTTGATCCGCTTACCCCGACACGGTGCCGCTCTTCGATCTACCTCTCCATCATCGACACTTCGGACCCCCATTGATGCCGTGAACGATCATGACATGTAGATCCCCACGCGTTCTACACATCACGTCAAGAAAGGTCGTACCTGCACTAAGGCTTCCAAGGCTCATATAAGGCGGGAGTCCTCCTAGTAGTCTAGTCTCACTACTTTAGCCGATAACGCAATCCGGTCCAGTATCAGTCTAGGAACAGTGGATGAAGGCGCTATGATCGACAAACAGGATGGAGAGCCAACGGGACACGGTCTCACGTGCTGGCTGCTAGATACCCGATCACTATGGCCCGGGGAAAAGATCACAGATTCAGAATCAGTATGTCATCCCACAAACACTTATCTGCCTAGAACACCAACTAACCACGTGTAGGCGCGAGAAGCACTCTCCCTCGTCACCCCCGAGGAACAAGACCTCATAAAACGCAAATACCACATAGCAGATGCGCGAATGAGCCTGGGCTCCGCCCTCCTCAAGCGCCTTTTTGTCCACAAAACTCTCGGCATACCATGGAAAGACATTCGCTTCGGCCGGAAACGCGATCCTAAACACGGGAAGCCTATCGCCTTGCTAATACCACCGCAACATGGCCCCGCTCCCGTAGAGTTCAACATCAGTCACCAAGCCGGACTCGTCGCACTCGTAGGCTGTGCAACCAATGAACTCGACGCGGAAGTTGGCGTAGATATCGTCTGTGTCAACGAGCGAAACGACTACCGCGTTGTCGACGACGAGGGCTTCGATGGATGGGTTGATATGTACGCTGAGCTCTTCAGCGGGGAAGAACTCTTCGATATCAAGTACAACGTTGACCCATTCCCTCTGTTAGATGGCACAATGGTCACGCATGAGATTCTGGGCCGACATGACCGCTGTTGTAGGCGAAATGAGCATCTCAACGTTACGCTACCGAACGGAGAAAAAAGGGAGCTGGATTCCGACTTACTTATCGATGCGAAACTACGACGGTTTTATACGTTCTGGTGCTTCAAGGAAGCGTACATCAAACTTGACGGCGAGGCGTTGCTCGCAGAGTGGATACCGCAATTGGAGTTTAAGCATGTGCGTGCGCCGAGACCGGGGACGCCGGCGCGGTGTAGTACGCATGGGACTTGGGGTGAGAGGGCCAGTGATGCGGAGGTCTGGTTCTCGATGAAGAGTGATGGGAAGGGACCTGCGGGTGTGCGGGGCTTGAAGAAGGGCGAGTGCGGCAGGTTAGAGGACACAAGAGTAGAGATCCAGGCTTTTGAGGAAGACTACATGATTGGGGTTGCGGCGAGGGAGAAGAGAGATTCGGCAGTTGATGGAAGTAGGAAGAAGCTGCCAGATGTGTTGACGCATTTCAGGGGGCTGCATTTAGAGGAGGATGTCATGAGTGTCGCGAGGAGTGCATGATGCATATTCAGTCGTTCAAGTGAAGTGGGTTTACTACTGAGGCTCAAGATACAGCGTCGATCGACGGCCAGGCTACACACTCGACATGCTTATTGCGTCCGCAACTACGATGACCCTCGCTCAGCTTATCTTCGATCTTCAGCTTGTTAGTCGTCGTTCTATAGTATTCGTAGAGACATCATACCGTTGGAACACATCGAGCACATTCTCTTCCTTGTGCATGCGCTCAACATGTTGTTTGAAATTGTCTATTCGCGGCCATATCTTCTCGCGGTTCTTACAATCTTCAACCGCGCATCGGTAATAAGATTTGTCAAGATCTTTCCTATGCACACTCTTTTTATGGCGTTCAAGGTCGTTTAATGTAGTAAATCCATCTGTCCTTTTACACCCGGGCACGTTGCAGCTGAATGGCTTTGAATGCTTTAACATATGTTCCCTGTTTTCCAGTCAGTAGGCAGCTAGTTGCAGATATCTGGATACCATACTTTAAATCGCTCCGACACATATTCACCACTCCACATATTGGACATGGAAACGTTTTCCTCGTTCGGGGCTGATCATTGTCCGTCGTTTCACCAGAATGACCCACGATCGAACCCAAAGAGGCTTTTACTGATGTAGGGAGAAAGCTCCAATCTGTAAGCGGTTCCATCGCGCCAGAAGGCGGCCCCGTTTCAGTCAGACGTCCTGAGGATGGTAGAACGTCACCGATTTGTGGTGTTGACGCATAGGCCGGTGTGGCAGCCTGGGCAGGGTAGGCCCATGGATGTATATGATAACGCTCTCCGGACGTTGACGATGACTCCACTTGAGATACCATCTGCTGTTGAAACGGGTGGTCGTATATGGGATTCGCCTCAAAAATAGGCGTTGCTGGTAATTGGAACCGGGGATCATAAGACATGAGCGAGTTCTGACTAAACCAGTAATCCTCGACTGTCGCTGGAGTACAGACGGAATACACTGGAGGTACGAGTTGGGCCTGTGAACTGAGACTCCTTATACACTGCCCACAAAAGGCGTCTGGCCAGCACGTCCATAGCTGGCTCGTAATCGTTTCAGCCGACGGTCGGGCTTCAGGTTCGACGTTGAGCATTCGACAAGTTAAATCTAGGACAACCTGGAGCCAGATGTCACAGCTAGGACTTGTCCTCCGCATGAGCGTGGAGAATCCTTCGATGTGATCTCGATATGGAGTCATGTCTGTTTCTATTGGGCCTAGTACAAGCGCACTAAGGATCTCAAGATAGACACATCCAAGCGAGAATACGTCTGTCTTAGAACTGCGTGGAGACCATTCGTGCAACTCCGGGGCAGCGTACTTGCGGGTTATGGAGGTAGGGCGGCCTGTCGTAATGCTGCGCGTAGCTGCGCTGTAGTCCAAGGACGAGCCAAAGTCCGTGTAGATTACAGACTCTCCATGTACTAGGATGTTCGATGGCTTAATGTCCTTGTGTCGTACTCTTTGAGCGTGCATGAACTGCAAGCCGCTAGCAAGACACCCAAACGAGTTGTACAAGATATTCAACTCAGTCCCGGTAAAAAGACCGTCATGAGCATCCTGGAGGAATGATTCCAGCGAGCCGCGATCGGCAACTGGTGTCAGTAAGATACCTATTTGACGCCTCCCTACGTGTGTCGCAAAGATCCGAGTGATGTGGTGATGCGGAGCTAACCGGCGGATGACCCTGACCTCGTTGTCAAAAAGGCGTTGCCTCTCAACTGAAGAACCGCCAAATTTGAAGACCTTGCAGGCCAAGACGAGGCCAGTATGTCGGTCCTCGACCTCTTCCACGTTGGCGAATCCTCCTTGCCCCAGGTTGCGAAGTAACTTGTACGGCAGCTCGTCGTTGGGTTCGAGGAAGTAGTGTTGACCCTCTTCGATGCGCAACATCCGCTTGGGACCGCTGCCGCCGTTCATTGTGGGCAGAAATTATATGGACGTGAGGATAGGCAGTCGCTGTGTTGTGACGATAGACGTAGGGAGCGACTAACACATGTTAGCTGCTGGCGTGACAGCTCTACTATCCTGCCTCGAAGTCTCAACGGCTCGTCGCTAGAGTAAAGAGCTGGGTCGCGGTCTCAGCGCGTTCACAAAGCTGACGTGCGACGCGCTGAGCTGAGATGTTGGGCTCGTCCTGTGGTCGCTAGGTAAAGACGACCTTCGTCGTAACTATGCGAGAACGCGTAGACAAGCAACAAAGAAAAATACAGGTGGCTTCGAGGTCCTTGAGAGGCTAGAAGTGAAGCATACAATCGAAGTTGACGAGGCTGGCTCGCGCCTGGTTGCATGGCGCAGGCTGAGCGCTGCACATGCGATTGGCCCTAGGTAGAGGCACTGCTTCCAACCACGTCGGCAATCGCGATTGATTTTCAACTAGACCTCTAGATACTGCGGCGGAGCCAAACCTTGGGAACTGACACTTCAGAGGTTGCATGAGTTGTATCTTGAGGATGATGAAGTATTAGGGTTCGGATTCGTCAAGAGGAGAAAGGTGGCGTATTCAATGCGAGACCGAACAGAGTCCGATTGAATTCCAACGTCGGTGCGACAACTCGCCAGCCAAGAGAGGCTTATACGCCGTTTATCAGTATTTCCATCCGCAGTTGGCTGTCATGAGGGTCAAAGGGATGGAAGCGCGGCGAGCCTGGCATGTTTCGTAGCGTGGCTGAGTAAGCCCACCTGGGCAGGTCCCGATTCCGAGATAGCCTCGGCGGGAGCGTCAATCCTATCCCCTTAATGTAAGCTCTTTAGAACACTACCTGGCCCTTTCGCAGTACAACGAACCCTACGAGCGCGCCGAGAAACTCAACATGTCGAAGCGCCTCATGTTGGTGCCCAGTGTGAAGATGCCGAAGAAGATACGCGTCATGATTGCTGGACCCTGAGCCCATAAGGTTTGATAGCTACGTCAACGCACCCGAAGTCAACCCGCAGCTATGCCCAGATGTATATTACACCCCTCACCGACTCAATGCCTGCAGTTTCCGCCTTGCTCTCACGTAGTCAATTGAACGATATCTCGAGGCCCCCATCCTCAAAGCGATCCAGAAACCGCCACAATGTCTTCCAACTCGCTCAACTACCCGCTCCTCGCCATTCCAGCCTACTATGTCTTCTCTCTCGTGCCGCACATATACGCAGCTAGCCTTCTCACAGCCAACGGCTACAAGATCAACAACGCGAACCCTAAGGCAGCGTTGTCACCAGAAGCCGTGAAGGGCAAGGTTCCCGATGCTGTGTAAGGCGTCCCCACTCTCCCCACCCAAGATCCCTTGCTAGTACGATACTAACACATCCACAGCTTCAAAAAGTACCAACGCGCCGAGAACGCCCAGTCGAACAATATGGAACAAATGCCCCTCTTCGCCGCCGCCGTTATCGCTAGCATCATTGCCGAACGCACCACCGCAACAGGAATAGGACGAGAGGTTCTCTCAGGCGATGCAACTGGCTTGACAACATTTGTCACAGCTTGGTTCGCAGTCAGGGCCGCGTACTGTCTGGCATATGTACAAATCGCGACTTACTCGAAGAGCATGATCAGGAGCGGCCTTTGGGCTATTGGCACCGGGCTAGCGATATACCAAATCTACAAGGCTGCCGCGATCTTGGGCTAGAGATCATGGACAATAAAGCGACATGGTAAACACGACAGATACGACAAGGACAACACGGACCAAGAGAACGAGTGTTAGGACTATCCTTAGAAAATCGATGTGCAATGAGATCAATTACTACTCAATACATGTGTGCTGATAACTAGGGACTTCCGAATTCACAACACCAGCGATCGACACTTGCCAGTGTAACCTTGCGTCGCCATCCCAAAACGAACAAGGTCCAGGCACGAACCCGCACAACGGTTACACGAGTATATCACGCGTGCTGGCGCAGTCACACTGGGATTGGCCTAGAACTCACGACGAAGTCTATCGAATGTACGAGTAACACAATAAATCTGCAAGAGACTTTTGCAATTAGCCAGCGACCAAGCTGCTACGCGGCTGTGTATATATGCGCCATTGACTTCGACACCCCACGTCCACGACGCGACAATCCATCTTTACTGTATTCGCACACTCCGTTCTGTAGACATACTAGCCCACCTTCGATTACAGCATGGTTCACATTACACCAGGGCTATCACTTCGCATTCACGCTTTGGCACTTTCGTATCTTTTGAGCCGTGTTGCGACGCAATCATATTCGGCTTCTTTCCTCTACCCCGAGTCCGCTTCTTCTGTCCTGACCATCAACGCCCATGATCAACTAAATGTCAAATGGACGTCCGACTTCGATCAGGCCTTCTTACATATGTGGTGCGACGATGACAGTGGGACTGGCGAACAGGCGCTATGTATGTCCTCACTCTTGTGTATACCCTCGGTTACCATTAGCCATAGCTAACGTGCCATGTGGCATGGAAGGGTTATCGACTGAAGTCAGCACTATCGGCAGCATAACATACTCGCCATCAGCCGAAAACCTTACTAGGCGTAACTGGAACACACCCGTCGCATGCCACTTCGACATCCTGCCTTTCGTAAACGACACGAATGAGCAGGAAGGCCCATTCCTCACAATCAAGTCAGACAGCGATAGCGCTCCAACTCTTTACGATCAATCGTTCACATCGCCGCTAGCTCCTACAACCAGTATGACGACGATGATCTCCCTGCCATCCTCTTTCGCTATTACTTCGTTGCTAGTCTCCAGCGTAACAACGGTATACGGTCAATCATCCACATCACTCATCGCATCTACTACTAGTTTGACGACGATCTCCATGTCGGTCTCTTCATCCACTAGTTTGTCGCCTGTATCCAGCGTAATAGCGGAGAGGGACAACAAGACACTCTCGGGTGATGCGATAACAGGAATAGCATTGGGCGCAGCATTCGCAGTGGTGGCATTAGTAACAGTAGGATGGTTCTTCTGCCGGTACCATCGGAGGATAAAGGCGTTAGAGACAAGAATGTCTGGAGCGGGCGGCCCAACGGAACATCCATCGCATAGACCGATACCTATACTACCTGCGAAGAAGCGTGACAGGCCACAGGCTGAGTTGTCTGAATTGGTGGCATAGAATGCGGGAACCGATGTTTCATTGTTAAGAGTCGGACTGGGCGGATCTCAAACTTTCTCAGCGTTACCTCCCCACGCTCCATGTTCGCCCTCCGCTTTTGGCTTCCCGATCCTCTCTAGCTGCGCCTTCATGCCCGTACTCGTCGCCATAGTCCTCATGCTCTCATCACAGTACTCTACACCGTCCCGAAAGTAGAAGTTCTTGCCAAAAAGCTCCACAGTCAGACCCCAGTTGTCCTTGCCCGCCACCTTCTTTCCGTTAGCGTCCTCAATGTCTTCTCCATCCACCACCTTCACCACGGCGTTAACGACTGTCTCCATGGGTGTCATGAAGCTCTCTGGGAGGGACCCCCATTCCTCTTCACTCAACAGGCCGGTGCGAACGATGCTTGGGCAGACCGTGAACGTTCTAACGCCAGCGTAGTGGTATGCTACTGTGATAGCACGGTTAAAGTGGATTACTCCCGCTTTAGCACCAGAGTACATAGGGCCGAACTCGGCTGGATAGAGTCCACCACAGCTTGCAGTCATGACTAGGGCCGCGTCATTGTTCTCTCTGCCATGCTTGGCCTGGGATTTCCGGAAGTAGTGGAACGCAAGCCATGAGGTGTTTATCACTGCCGTGTAATTGACATCGACTACGAGGCTGTTCGGCGGTGGAGGCGGCGCTTCGAGAGCATGTTCTTCGTAGAAGTCTAGGTGTTGGTGATCAAGTCAGTTGGTGTCTGATTTGCCATACGAATAGGTTTGCTACGCACTGTCTTTTTCGGCGATACCAGCGTTCGCGAAGACGAAGTCGAGACGACCTGACTTTGACCATGCTGATTCGAAAGCTGCTACCAGCGAGGCGTAGTCGGCTACATTCGCCTGGTGAGCATGCGTATTATTGAGCAAAGACGTGGCTTTCGTGAGATTATCAGTGCTGAGGTCGACAAGGTGCAGGTCCCACTCTTCATTAGTACGAGCTGCGAGGGCCTCCGCAACAGCGAGTCCCATTCCACTAGCCCCGCCAGTAATGAGAGCTACTTTCTTGACCATGTTGAGATTGTCGAGTAGGGTAGATGAGTGATTCTTGTAGAGGAGGTGCCAAAGGCGACAGTGTGATAGTAAACAGCCAGCGTGTGAGTGTTGAAGATTGGATGGTTTGAAGTGCAAGAAGGAAGTCGTTGGACTTTATAGATTATGCGTACGAGGGCGACCAAGCGCAATTGAAACACTAGAAGGGCTGAATTGGATAGTACTAAGGTTGCGATATCCCTGCTCTGCATCAACATTCCACCGTAATAAGGTTGCGATATGTGCGATGAAGGGCACTTCTGCGAGCACGTGATGCCAAGGTACACGCTAGAGCCACTCCTTGTGTGCATCGGCGTGAGGTGGCCGACGTCATTCTGACTCATTCTCACTCATTCAGCGCCGGCTTTACAATCGGCCGGTGGCTGAAGCGCATCCTCGCGTAGACATCCGGGTCTAATGCGCGAATGCGCTGCGAGATGGTAGCAAATGCGACGTCAAGGGTGCGCATCATGCTTCGGATGGCGTCGTCAGGCGCCGGCTTTGTCGGACTACCTAGGTAGACGATGCAGCGAGAAAACGCGCCTGTTCATATCTAGACCAGTATCCCAGCCAAGTCTGTTGGAATAGGGTCCTTTCTTGACGAACTGAGGCCCGTACTTGGACTTCAGCAAGTGAACCCGACGTTGGTTGGGGAGGTCAAGAGGCAGACTGTCCCTTATGCTGTCCTGTGCAGACTTCTTCTCCACCCGACCGCGCTGGTAGTTATGTCGTCTCTCCTCCTTCCGTAGCTGGCGCTTCGACAATCTGCCGCCTTGGTTCGACATGCCGCCGTCCAACGTCTGAGCAGGGCCTCAAGCCTCGCCATGAGGACTAGAGTGTGGTGTTGTGGGCAAGGCGCAGGAACTTCGGTGGTGAGAGAACTGCGGGTCGGGGCCTGAGCGGCGGTCGTGGGAAAGTGACTGTCTCGAGTAGGCGTCGATGGTCAGGAAGTCACCATGGCGAGAGAGCGTCGTTGGTCAGGAAGCGGCAATCGCGGGTCAGCGTCGACGAGGGAGCCGCGAAGTTGATGGCTGGTGTCAGAACCACGCCCATCGTGGGCTCTAATGGTGATCCTGCGACGTCTTGGGCTCTCGTCCTTCGTTGGCTGACAACGAACATGGACGCGATAAAGGCGCGCAACGAGCGGGTGCAATCAGCGGATACATGCCAGCGGTGCTGTCGCGGCTGCGGCGTTGTTGTTGTGCGAATTGAGGGCGGGTTTGGCGGGCCAGAACAAAAACCACAATTGCGGTCGCATCACTCTGACAACCGGGCCGTGCAGGCGCTGGCGAAGGAGTGTGGACGCGACATGAGAGCGCGCGTTCGGGGTGGAGGCGTAATCGGCGTCAAGCTACAGTCGCGAAGACATAGTCGCGAGGATGTAGTTATAGAATTGATGATTAATCGCAGCGGCTGCCTGCTTGGCGCAACAGTTTTGTCAGACGCGCACGACGTCATTCAAGATAGGATGCAGGTGTGGCTGCATGAGCAGTGTCACGTCCGAGGCTGCAGATAAATGAACGGTTATTGCTAAAATTCCATCCGAACCCGGTGTCTGTCAAAATGCTTTTGCACGCACACATATCGGCATCGAGATGTCGCAATCCCGCGTAAGCAGGATAGAAACAATGGGCTCGTCTATCCGTATTGAGTTGCGTTAGAGCAGCTAATCATCAAGACAGGATATCGGATAGACACGGATTACAAAGATAGCAAAGGCTTTCCTGTAGAGGTATATTAGAGAAGACATTAAAGACATCTTATTAAGGAAAGAGCGATTTAAGTCGCTCGTGCAGATTGCGCTGCACAACACCAGTTGTTTGTATCTTTCTAGGCATGGAGAGGCGGCCTTGCTCAGACCTGCGGTAAACTGTCGCAAGCGGTCGAGAGCCGCATGGCATACTTCTTATATCAAGCAACGCGCAAAAGCATCAATTGAGGATAGCGCGACCAACAGATTCAAGATGTTCTTCAAGGTAGGCCCGAACGTGAATCGTAAGTGTGGGACCGTTATCTCGGTCGTTCACGTCGGCAGTATTGATGCGCCAGGGTTCACGCATCCTAGCCCCCGCAGTATTTCTTTCTGGAATCCCAACATCCCCGAAGGCTTGGTTCTGCATCCTCACTCGCTCGTTTCCTTGTTCAATTCGCTGCAGCTGGTAATACGGAAAGCATGTTGTCGTCAACTCCCCTCAAGACAGCCGCATGGCTTGCGTTCACGGCTTCTTTCAGCTCAGCCACACCCCAGTATGGCACTTCTCCAAAGGTCCAGTTCAAGCACTGGCCTGCTGAGGCAGCGACCGCCCTCTCCACCATGATCGCAAAGAACGCCAATCAAAGCAACTATGCGGTCTTCGACATGGACAACACTAGTTACCGCTACGATCTCGAAGAAGCGCTTCTTCCTTTCCTGGAGAACCGTGGCATCCTCACGCGCGACAACTTGGATCCCAGCCTCAAGTTGGTCGATTTCAAAGACACTGCGAATTTTACCGAATCGTTGTACAGCTATTACAACCGTTTGTGCGAGATTGACGACTTCGTCTGCTACCCATGGGCCGCACAAATCTGGTCTGGCTTCACACTGCGCGAACTCAAGACCTATGTGGATGAGCTTATGGCATACAACTCATCCATTCCCACGAAGTACTGGGACGGTGACGAAGTCACATCCAGCAGCGTAAACCCGCCGAAGGTGTTCCGGGGCCAGGTCGAGCTCTACAATGCTCTCATGGACAATGGCATCGCCGTCTATGTTATCAGCGCTGCGCATGAGGAACTTGTCCGCATGGTGGCCAGCGACCCGAAGTACGGATACAACGTACCACCTCAAAACGTCATTGGTGTTACCACCGTACTGAAGAATGTTACCTCCGGCGAGCTCACCAACGCTCGCAAGCAGATCACAGAAGGAACCTACAACGAGACCGCTAATCTCGACCTGGTCGTGACTCCGTATCTGTGGACACCTGCTACATGGTTTGCCGGAAAATGGGCTGCTATCCTTACCTACATCGATCAATGGAAGCGCCCCATTTTGGCTGGTGGTGATACTCCCGGAAGCGATTCGTACATGCAATTCCATGGGGTCGACACAGCAAAGGGTGGTGTGCATCTGTGGATCAACCGTAGAGACGCGTACTTTGAGCAACTGCAAGAGGAGATCAAGAACAATACTCAGGCGCAAATTGCTAATGGCAGGGAGGTTACGGCGGACAAGAACTGGGTTGTTGTCAAGCCCGAGGAGATTCTGTAAATATGTAATGCAAAGGTGGGGAAGCAGAGATGCGATAGATAGAATGGTAGCCCGCACTCCAGGGCTGCCGGAGAGAAAAAACGCGCTAGTTGACGTAATCGCTCGGCTAAGCTTTCTTCCAGCTTTTAGTCCCCCCCTTCTCGTGCCTGTTATCGACGCGTCAAGCTCACCAACCACCTCACTCACCCCACGCGCCGCCACTAACCATGCAAATGACGCGTGAAACCAGAGCGCATGCATGAAGCGATAGTAAGTTGCGCCCTCGTTGCCTTCCACCTTGTCCTTCCTTCGATGATGATCCCACATTACACTTGAACCGAGATGCTTTAGTTCTTGCCCTTCCTTCGTGCGCCTCGTGGTTTGCGAAAGCTAGCCCGGGTACACTGGGTCGGGTCAGACTTTGGTTTCGATGCGCGAGTAGAAGATAGCTCTGATTTGCACAATATTGCACCAGTAAAATCATTTCGGGTGTTATCAGTACTAACGGAGACCAAATAGTCCAACGTACAACAATCTCTATAAACTGATATAGTGGTATCTAAAGCGCTGGCACGATGCGAAACGAATGCCGAAAGAAACTTTATCGAAAAGAAATTCTAGTTTTCATCTTTCTATCAGAACCACATCAGCATCTGATTTACTTTGAACATCTTCCCGTACCTCATCCGGCTGATCCTTTGACATTTCGGTCTTCTTTTCTGGTTCCTTGTACCAGACTTCACTTGGGTTTGCCAAGATACTCTTCTGCAGCGCATCGCTGAACATCTGCATCACACTAGACGCGCTCGCATCTTTGACTCGAGTCTTTCCCATGGTTGTGTAGTGCCTAACGAAGTTCCCGTTGCAATCCGATATATCCTTGTTGGCGGTACCAGGACGGGATAACATATCGTCGCGGAAACCGGGCCACCCTACCGCATCGTCGCAGGGTATGGTAACGATCGTTTCTGGCGTCTTGTTAAAGTCGTAGCGGATGTATTCTGAAAAGGCGCGTTGCTCGTGGCTCCATTCGTATCTCCATTTCGCACAGCCTTTGTAGCGTGTCTCGGATGTGCAATCGCGCCACGCATCCAATAGTTCCAACGTCATGGATGAGTTTTGCGCAACCACAAGGCCGGTGTTGAGGACGCGCATCCCCTTGCTGTCTAGGCTAATCGAGCCTTCATCGCGGATTTCTTCGGTATCCCATGGAAGAGCAATGGATGTGTGCTGCTTGATGCCCCAGCGGTTGAACATCCACTCGAAGGGGACGTCCGGATGCGCTATCGTAACGTCGGCATCCATTACAATCACGAACTGATATTCAGGTATGAGTTCGCGGAGAACGTGGGGCAATATCCACGTGTTGTAGTGGTCCTTCATGTCGCGCGCTTGATAGAACTTGTAGTCGTAGCCATGGACCAAGGCGTACAGATAATGGTTCATGATGGAGTTGGAGACCAGGCCGGCGCCTTCAGTCTTGAGATTTTCCCAATCTAAGCGTTCTGGGTTGAGAAGCTCGTTCTTGCCAGTCGGCACACGCGTGTCGATGTCCACTATCAAGACCTTTTTGCCCAGAGGCTTCGTCCAAATCGTCTCACGTCCACCTTCGTAGTATGTACCGGACGGATCAACATATCCGGTCGAGCTCGGATCGTGTTTTATGGGCGCAAACAAACTGGCAACCGTGTCTCGGAGAGTTGGGTTCGATGATCTACACTGAGTGTCAGTGAAAGAGCCTCTATAG